CCTTGGGCTCCTGGGGTCACAACATAAAGGAACAACACTGCCTGCCTGCTACGGACCTTTTGGGGAGCTTTTAACATGAGCAGGGTGGAAATGCCAGGAGGTGGGAAGGATCCTGGTCTCTCTAGGCAAGAAGCAAAGAGGGTGGAGGAGTCGAGAGGGTCACCGTGCCTTGCTTTAGATGGCTCTGCACTGGAGAAGCCGCCGACACAACAAGCCTAGTGCCACACAGGCCCCCAGCTGGCTTGGATGGAGAAGCACATAATTCTTAGGAGTCAAAAGTGTATAGTTGCCCGAGGAAGATGTTATAAGACAAGGATACAGTGTTTATTTGTTCAGTGACTAGAGCACTGGCAACAAACGTGTTCTCGGCAAACTTACATTGCATGGAAAGTGGCTTAGGAAGTAATTGCATCAGTTAATCATTCAGTAATTGATCACTGAGCAGGCAGCTGCCCCCTTTCCCATCACTTTCTGGAAGTTTATGCTCTTCATGCTAAGGCTTTATGAGAGGTGGGAGCAGTAATCTGAGAGACAGGATCAAGGATCACAAAATAAATATTCAGATAAGAAATCTGGCACTTAGGCCAGATCAACCTGCTAAAACTTCAGATTCTATTTGCAGCCAGAAGAAAACATGGCAGTATTGACTAGAATCCCCAGACTGTCAAAAACAGCTGCTCCGGTATGAAAGATTCATTCCTGGTGGAAAGAGGTATGAGAAAGAGCAACACATTACAGGCCAGAGGAAGAGACAGCAGCACAGGATAAATGTCACGTTGTTGAAGGACCCAAGAGACAGGCAGCATCCCCACGTGGCAGGACCTGCTTCCCCTCACATACAGGACCACCTGTCCTCATCAGAAAGCCAAGGCCAGTGCCCTGCCCCATCCTCAGCCTTCTAGTGCTGTGTGCGTGGCTCCTGAAGGAGTGGCTTCTGGATCTGAAGTCGTTTTGTTGCAGATCCAAAAAAACACAGTCTCCACCTTTATGCAGGTCTGACCTTTACTCCACTTTCCTATATGTGGCTCCTCAAACATTTACTACTCAGAGCTTCATATTCAGTCGCTGCATCACAACAACATGGCAATTTGAAGGTCACACCCCAACAGGTAATCGCCACCTTTTGCTTGTTCTTACTTCTGGGATGGTCAGTACAAGGTGTGTTAGACCATCAGGAATGCTCCCTTCAGGAGCCCGTCAGCAAGACCTGGAAAGAGACTTGCTGCCATCATGAAGCATGGAATAGTCGATTAGTTATGAATCCACCAGAGTCCTAGGATTTTAGGGAAGAAGCTGGTAAGGTCAGAGGCTTCTGTCTCCTGCCATTTCCTCACTTCATAGACAAGGAAGCAAGAGCTCAGATACAGTCGTACTCCCTCAGTGAAGCCTGGGGTTGATGGCTTTCCCAGAACACACCGTGACATATGACAGAGTGGGGGTGGGGCTGACCACTGCCTCTCCCTTGGTCTTTTCCTCAGGGTGACTACAGGCTTATCTTGCTGTGTTCCAAGTGGGCCAAATACCTTTTTTTGCCTCTCACCTTCCAGAGAAGTTTGAACCCACAGCTCCCAAACCTTTACTTTTTCTATAACATGACCAGGCCACAGATTTACAATTTGAAGGGGGCCAGAAGGAAGCAGGAGGGGAGGAAGAGCAGGCAGAACCCCACCCCGCTAGATGCACTAATCTTATCTGATGTTGGATGCTGAACAGCTGGCCCTATATCTGCTTTATGGCATTGAGGGAAGCATAAATCAGGCAGAAAGAATGCTCCCTCTGTAATAATCTCTTCAGGAAACAGAAATGGGATGAAATATCTAGGAGCCAAAGTGCTGCCCTGACTGACATAGGGAAGCAAGTCCTGCTCCTCTGCTGGCCGGCCACAGACTACTTTTGTTGCAAAGCATCGTCTGAGGACACAGCATGGCCTCTCCCAGAAACCACCATTGCACTGGTTAACTTGCAGGCATGAGAATCTCCTAGAAGGGAGGAGCAAGGTAGAGAAAGTGTGCCCCCTCCAGCAGCCTGGTCCTTACAAATCTCCCTAAGCTGGTTTTAACTCAGGCCTCTCCATTCCAGCCAATCACATGCTTCCCATGAACTGAGTGGGCCTGTAACTGCGGCAACAGTTTTCCGGATGCTGACTGCCATTCCCTGGACTGCACATCTCTGTTTCTCTAGCTCCCTCTGAGGGCAATGGAGAAATAGGAGAGGCTGTGCTCACCAGAGAATAATTAGAGCCCGCAGAGGGAAGCCCAGCACCTGGAAGTGTGAGGGCCCAGAGCAGTGTGAGATTGTCCGGACCTGAAAATACACAGTACAAGTTTAACTCCTGTGCTTTCACTCCACAAATGTCAGTCTGTGGGGCTTATTTTTAATGAAAACTTTCACTTTTCTTCCTTATCACAGACAATGAAATTTTAAAAATATGAAATTAAGATAGGCAGAGAGAAGAAAAAATCACCCATAATTCCCATCACTCAGAGAGCCACTTGAGTAGTTTGGTGTAATCTTTGCTGTACAACTTTGTATGCTTCTTTTTTAAAAATGAAAATGGAATACTATACACACTGCTTTATAGTGTGCTTCCTCTAAATACACATTTAGAATATCATTTTTAATAATTGCATGGTCCTCTGTCCCATGGATGCATTTCATGTTATTTATCCAGACCCTTACTGATGGCTATGTAGGTTGTGACTAATTTTTGACTGTTAGGGAAAAGTACTGTGATCACATCTTATCAAATGATCTTATTTTTTTAAGATAAATCCCCAAAATTGAAATTTCTGAGTCAAAGATGCATATGTTCTTAAGACTTCTGGATGCATATTGAAAAACTGCTCTCAATGAACACACCTCCCAGCAGTGCGTGTGTGTTTGTTAAGCTCTCACCAATGCTGAGCGTCACTGGTATTTTGACCATGCTCACTTGTAAGCACTTATGAATACAAAACACACTTACACTTACTATATTAACCTAATATTTACTATAATGCACATTAAATACTTGACATAATATTTAATATATTGAATTGCATGTTGAAGACCCAACTGCACTGGATCTGAGGGTCCAAAGAGGGGCACACAGAGTCACCTGGCCTCGAAAGTTCTCAGAGAAAGGCAATCTATAAACACAAAGAATCTAAAATTATCCAGAGTGGCAATACAAATTTTAAGAAATTTATATGTGGGAGAGGGTGAGGGGACCCAGGGTATGTAATAACATATCATAATATCATTTCCAGAATCCTACTTTGGACATTATGACCTGTACGATGCTATGCTCATTAGGAATGCTCCTTTATTGAGTGCCTACTAAGTGTGAGGCACTGTGGTAATTATGCAGTCTCACAATATCCTGACAACATCCTTCTGAGAGAGGTGCTTTTTAGTTCATTTTGAAGTTATAGAAACTAAAGCACAGATTTAACTGATGGGCCAAGGCCACGTACATCCGGTAAGCTGCTGAGCCAAAAGGGCCCATGGGAATTCTGCCTCTGATTAAAGAGAGGGAGTCTTTAGGCTCAGAATGTTTTGGAAAACAATGCTAAGCTGTCCTAGCAGAGAAGGAAGGGAATTTGGAGCTCAGGGAAGAAGCAGTTATGGTGACTTTGGTTTGGAGAAAGCAACTCTTCTAATTCACGTGTTTAGCCTTGACGTAAGGCTTCATAATGGGAGCTTGCTATTGAAAGAAGATAAGTAGAGAATAGCTACTGGCCACTCTTTTCCTCCTCTCACTTCAGACCGTCTCAGAATTTCTCTTAGTATACTTAGGGATATATGAGGGCCTGTTAAGCGGAGATTCCCAGAGTAACCCGAAACATTCTGGCTCAGTCTGGAGTGGGCCCTGGGATCTAACCATCAGGGGAGTCTGATGATGTAGGGGATCCTTCGGTGAAGCTTTGAGAGTCGTAGCAAGTCTACAGTCTGAATCACATAACCCTGAAATGAATGGGTGATGCCAGCTTCTTCCCTGCCAGGGTGATCCAGAAGAAAGTCTGTAGGAGGTGGGATCTGAACCTTTTATAGTGACGTGCATTTGCCCAGCTGATGTCTGGGTCATCTTACTTGGAGTTAGTAACGGTTCCCCATGGGGACTGTCATCCCTGAAATACTTCATATAAAGTAATACTTTATATGTAAAATACTGTATATTTAATAGTTCATATGTAATTCCTCAATAAAGAGGTGTCCCCAGCTCTTTGCATGGACTTGTATAGAGGGAGAGCTAATATTTATCCATCAGTAACCTCTTGCTGGTGCCTTAAGCCTGGATACAGTCTGTACCTATTGTTGGTAAACCTCATAGCCATTAGCTCACTTACTCCAGAAACATTTCCTGTAAGACGAACTCAGCAGATGGTAATAATCATCTACATGTCTACATCAGTAATCATCACTATTATCATCACCTTCATCTAACACTGATAAGGTGGCTCTCTTTACCTATGCATTGTGCCAAGCACTGAACTTGCATGATCTCTTTAATCTTTACCATATCACTTTGGGAAAGATCCCATTACAGTTTTATCCCCATTTTATGGATCAGGAGATGAAGGTACAGAGAGAGGAAATAACATGTCTTAGGTCACATCACCAACATGTGGTGGTATCAGATTCCAGCCCAGCCTATCTGTCCGCTCTTGAGTGGTCCCCATGATCCTTATTTTACTGGAGGAGAGGGATCCCAGAGTTTGGGCGGGGGTAGAGTAGGGGTTATCTGACTTGCCCACGACCATGAAGTTTGTTAGTGGTGTCACTGGCTCAGTTACCAGGGCCTTACTGACATCCTGCCCAGCCTCTTTCTGCAAGATTGCTGCTTCTAGATGTGTTAGGACAGACTCTGAAAAGGGAAGGTTTTGGTTAATTAATGGAACTGAATAGAGAGCAAGCTGTGGTCCTTAGGGAACTCTGCACTATCATTTAAGTGCCTGGCATGAGTGACCAGGCGGCTGAGCCTTTCAGTTCTGCAATGCTCTAGGCGTTAGCCCCCACTCATGGCTCCCAGGGCACTCGGATCTCGGCTTTGTTTGGGGATTGAATGCCATGATGCCCTTCCAACTCTAGTCTTCACACTCTTTGCCAGTGTACTGGTGACTTGGCTTGAGGCTGCTAAATTCACTGTGGGCTTCCAGGCCCCCTGGAACATCTCCCATCCATTCAGTGTACAAAGGCTGGGTGCAGGACTCCAGATTGCCATGGACAAGATCAACTCGGAGATGGCAGACCTCGGAAACTTCAGCTGGGAGTTCACTTACACCAACTCAACCTGCAGTGCCAAGGAGTCTCTTGCTGTTTTCATCAACCAAGTCCAGAGAGAACAGATTTCTGTCCTGTTTGGACCAGCATGCCCAGAAGCAGCAGAGGTAGAGTATACATACAGCCTTTTAGAAACTTTGGCTGAATTTCCATCGGAAGGGGTGGTCTTAAAGAGAATGATACAGACTTGAATAATCTCTTGACAAGGATGACATTACTGCAGATAATAACTGTGTAGGTCTTGGGTACCATTTCTTTGAGATATAATTAGACCATGTAATTAGAACAGTTAATATTTGTTTAAAGAAAGACCTTCAAATCAACAGTTGTTAGTTCACTCACCAACTTATTGATGCTCACTAGCAAGCTTGTTGAGTGTTTGAACTTGGTGCAGTTATATATAGACTCTCAGTATTCACTTCAGTGTGGTCAGCCACATGGCTTAGAAAGATTTTAAAGAATGAATGCCTAGTTTCAGATAGAAAAATAGCATTAGCTTATGCAGGTTTCCTTTGGTGTGTATAACAAATTATTCAGTGATGGTAAAAGTAAGTGGGAAAAATAAAGTATGACAGATTGAAATGAATGAGGGCAAAAATATAAGAGAAACAAATGACTTTTATTTGTTTACCTAATGGGATCAGCTTCGTTGAAGTCCTTGGATATCTTGTGCTCTGTGAGGTGTGGATGGAAAGGCTAAATGGAAAAGAGCAACACAGTTCTCACTCAGACCTACTGCGTGACTATCACTAGTGGGTACTACAGAATTAAATTCATGTTTGAATTAGAATCTTGGTCTCTCCTAGAGTTTCCCATTTGACACACTTCCAGCTGTCCAGAGCTTACCCATTCTTCAAAGTTAATTTCAAATGTCATGGAGCCCTTCTTCATTCTTCTACCTTCATTTTCCATATCCCTAATTCCAAAATTAGAAGTAATGTCTTACTTCTCTAAACTCCTGTAAATCTAAACTCTAAACTTCTCTAAAGTCCTATAAATATTGAAGGGTATATTTTAAACTATTTTTATATATCTGAACTCCTATAATAATTGATCATAGCTCCTTTAAGAGCAAGGTCTCCAATGTTCTTTGTAAATAGTAGCTCCTGATGCATAGTGAGAAATGAGTAAGGAACCAAATAGGAAAGACTAAAAGGGTAAGTAGTAGTTGTGAGTGTGGGCTCCACAGCATCCACAGCATATTGCATGAATTCCAATGTTGCTCCACTGTTTGCTAGTTTTGCACAGGTCTGTGCCCCCATGTTTTCATCTATAAAGTGGAGTGATGATAATACCCACCTAATAGAAATTACCTACCTGATAAGTTGCAAGAACTGAGGTGATATATGTAAGCTCTTAGTAGAGCACATGGCATAGAACAAGTGCTCGATAAATGCTTGCATTTATTATTCTTATCCTCTGAGGTTTTGCATCCTCAAATTGGACCCAAGACACTATTATCAATACTCCAAAAGAGAGGGTCCAGCATGACCCATAACACTCACGAATCCAAGGTTTACGCAGATACCTTACAACGGGGTGTGAGTGTAGCATCAACTCAATTATAGAAAGGGATCCTTTTGATTATTTCAAGGTTATTGGTTTGCTGGCCTCTGAGTGGAACATCCCCATGTTTGACTTTGTTGGACAAACAGCAAAACTGGAGAATGACTTCTTGTATGACACCTGTGTGAAACTCATGCCACCCATGCACAAAATCAGTGATGTGCTCCAGGAAAGTCTTCGGTACCTGGGCTGGAAGCACATTGGGATATTTGGAGGTCACTCTGGGACCTCCTTCTGGGATGGAGTGGATGAGTTGTGGAGGGTTGTAGAGCATGAACTCAGATCCCATTTCACCATCGCTGCCAGAGTGAGATACACCAACAATGATCCAGCCTTCCTTCAAGAGAATCTTAGAAGCATGGCACTGATTGCCAGAGGTAAGTAGGAAAGAGTCTTCTGTTGTTCATGTTTAGAGAGACAGAGAGGAAAAGCATATTGATTGAAAAAACTAAGAACTCATTTTTCTATGGTTGTAAAAAAGCAGATGGGAACAGGGTAGAAAACTAATGATACATAAAAATCACCAACAATAAACTTTTTTTTTTTTTTTGTCTAAAGTGAAACCCTTGAAAACTATAGTGTTGCGATGTACAGAGCAAGAGCATTCTCCAGACGGGTCAGGTCCTGGGCTGGGGCTGTTCAGAGCATGGACTCTCGAGCCAGAGATCCCTACGTTTGAAACCAGGCTCTGACATTTTTCTGGTTGTGTGCTCCTGGGAAAGTACCTTAACTTCTCTGTGCCCCAGATACTTTATCTGTAATAGAGAGACAATTACCTTACCTACCTCATAGAACAATGAGGATTAAATAAGGCCATGCCTGTGAAATGCTGGACAGAGTAACTGGTCAACATGGGATAGCAACTATTTTTGTTGTGATGCTTATCAAGTTTTACTTTGTAGCATGAAATAGTAAATGACTCCTTTCTGTTCCTAAAAAAAAAACATATATATATATATGCTTTTTCTGGCCTTAGAACTTTGAGACTTGTTGATCCCTTGGCTTGAAGTGCCACCTGCAGTCCCACCCCACATCCCTCCCAGGTTCTCTTTCCCTGGGTAGCTTCTTGTCATCCTTCCAGACTCAGCCCTGCATCCACTTCCCCTGAGGGGCCTTTTCTGTTTACTTGGCGCAGAGCAGTTCCCCTCCCCCGGTTAGTATGACAGCACCCTTCTCCCCGTCACTAGTCAGCGTCTTCAGTGACCTCTGTAATCTCATCACGTGTTTACTGCTTGTCTGATGGTCAGCTCTCCGAGTGCAGGGCCTTCTCTCTTGCTCACTGCCATGTCCTGCGCTGAGCACAGTGCCTGGCATGTGGTTGGAGCTCAGATAAATGGATTATAATTTACCTCATTTCAAAAAATACATGACTATGTCATTTGGGTGTCCTCAAAATGCACGCTGAGATGTTTGGATGGAAGGCAAGTTCCACAGCTTACTCCTTTTCCCCCCATCCCTACTCAGAAAGTCTGAATGCTCCTGATTCTAGATCCTCTGTGAACTCCTCCCAACTGATGTGTGACTGATGAGTCACAAACCAGATCTGTTGTTCTGAGTCAATTAAAGAAACAAGACGCACAAGTGGTCTCACACTTTTCCGACTTGTACTTGGGGAGAGAGCTGCAGTGAGGGTTTTGGTTCCTCAGAGCGAAAGCTGCCAGTTTGTGTGCTGTGCTGGCAGGTCCAAGAAGTACACAATCAGGGAATAGTTTAGGCATTCCTGTTCTCTGCAGCCTGCTCAAGGAAAGAAAGGTTCAAGTCTCATTTGGAGTGGCTTCAGACTAGACTTTTAAAACTGTGTGTGTGTGTGTGTGTGTGTGCATGTGCGTGTGTGCACGTGTGCATGTGAGCATATGCAATTGGCTAACTCTGTTTTCTCTTCTTAGTTATCATCTTAATCTGCAGCTCGGAGGATGCAAAAGTTGTTCTTCTGGCTGCAGAGAACCTGGGACTCAACACAGGAGAATTTGTCTTCATTATTTTGCTGCAGTTGGAGGTGGGTGCCCATGACCCCTCCACAGCTCCCATAGTAAGAGGTGACAAGTAGGGGGCACTTGCTGCGTGCCAGATGCATTAGCCCACTGAATTCTCATGATGACCCTATGAGGCAGGCACTTGCGTATCCTCCTCTTAAGATCAGGAGACTAAGCCTGAGCTGAAGGGTTCTCTTACACAGTTGGTGAGAGGTTGAATTAGGCTGCTGGCTCTGGAGCCTGGCCCTCTGCGCTCTGTCAGCAAATACCAAGTGAAGAAGAGCTGACATTCCTACTGGGCCATTGTGGCCTCCCCAAAGGACTCTCAGACACAAATGGCTCTCACTTCCTTTTTCTCCACGGCCACCTCCCTGTGTCCCTGTTGGAGCTCGAGGAGACCAACATACTGGTCCAATAAGGAAATTCTTAGGTGGGTTGGTTCCTTTGGTAATGGTAGGGATGGCTTAAATGTACTCTGTGCCTCCTGGGGTACTGAGTTATACATTTATAATGTAGTTACACATTGTTGTGCTTGAAATCCCCAAGAGCCCTTTGAGGCAGTTATTACATGGTTATTTACATGTATTGTTGTGCCCAATATTTCCAACAGCCTTGTAAGGTAAGTATTATTAGTATTCTAACTTAGAGATAAAAAACTGGAGGCTTAGATAAGTAAGGTATCTTACCCAAGATCTCAGAGCTCCTGTGTGGCATAGGGGTCTTTTGAACTCTGGGGTTGAGTCCTTTGCCCCAGCAGCTCTGCCTTATGAGGTGTTTGCTGGGTGCAAGGCCCCACTGTGAGCATTTGATATAGTAAAATTCGTTTGAACTCACACCACGCTATAGGGAGATGCTTTTATTTTCCTCATTGTACAGATGAGGAAACTGAGGCCCTGCAGAGTAAAATGACTTGGCCAAGGCCACACAACTAGTATGAGAAAGATCAGTATTGAAACCCAGGTGGGCTGCTCTTGCTGTTTAACCACCGCTCTATGCTAGCAGGCTTCTGAAAGAAAAGGTCACTTGTGTTTAGCTATGGACACACACAGTTTTCTCCAGCAGGTTTCTTTCTGAAATGAGCTTATTATATGTGATCATAAGAAACTGAAATGGGGCAAAAGGGAGGAAAGGAAGATACATAATAATGTTTCAGATTTCTTTTATTTTTTTATCATGAAGTTTCTTCGATTGTTAAAAGTGTCTCAGATTTGTTTGGGGAGACAGTTGGAATTTTAAACACCTTCCAAACTTTCTAGAACATTCACCTACTTTCTCTTTTTCTTGCCACCCACCTCTTTGTCTTCAGTTTTCCTCTCACCTCTAACCTGTGTCTAAGACAGATGAGATGGGGAGAGGACAGGCTAAGTCTTCGTACTGGCAGGGAAGCCCTGCCAAGCCCTAGTCATTTGTGTTTGCCTTTCTTCCAAAACCTTGATGATCAAACTCCAAGTGGCTTGTAGTGGCAGAAAGAATATAGAACTAAAAACATACCACATAAAGTCTATGCAATTGAATTCATGCTGCTTTAAAAAAGAATTGCATAGATCCATTCTATAAAAGTGTTCCCAATATAGGCTTAAATGGGAAAAAATCAAGCTGCAGAACAGCATTATAATGTGACATTATATATGTAACACACACATACCTCAGTACATACCTAGAGCTTTTGGATACATCACAGAGTGGACAGAAGGGAACAAAAGGGAGATGTGGAAGATCCTAATGTCTTTTGAATGTATACATACAATAAGTAAGCAATTACTTTCCTAATAGTAATAATATACATAGTAATAACAAGCCACTAAGACACAAGTAGAAAATCAAGAATTGACAATCCAAAGTTCTTCAAGTTTTTGCCACCTATTGTTAAAAGGTAAGCTTTCTGCATCTTAGCTGCTTGACACCCAGGTAAATTTTTTCTATCTATCTATCTGTCTATCTATCTATCTATCTATCTATCTATCTATCTATCTATCTATCTATCTATCAATCATCTATCTGCCTTCTGCTTCCTTCCCAGTGCCTTGATGCTAGCTAGGAAACATGGGCCTTGCATGTTAGGCCTTCCAGGCCTTCCATTGTGTTTCTGAGGATGAGAATGTAAAGTCAAATTTGACATAGACTTTGTGCAGTTCTGTTACTCAGAGTATTTCCTACAGAATGGCTACACTTATTTTGTTATTTTTCAGGACAGTTTTTGGAAGGAGGCATTGACAGACCAGAAGGTGATGCATTTGCCCACCATCTATGAGTCTGTGTTTCTCATAGCCCTCAGCTCCTATGCAGCTGGCACTGGAGATGAAGGCTTCCGAAAACAAGTCTACGAAAGGCTGCGGAGGCCACCCTTCCACAGCTCCATCTCTGCAGAGGAGCAGGTCTGACCTGGGGTCCTCCGGAGCAGTCCCTGCCTGCCCTTCCTTGAGGATATTTCTATTTGCCTTTTACATTCTTCCTCTTATATCCCCTCTTCTCCCTCCTCCCTCCCTAGCACACACATACACACTGCCTCATCTTCCACAGCCCGAAATAAACATCAGCAATTGTCTGACACTCACTTGTGAAATCTGTACCCCCAGACCACAGAGGAGGACAGAGGTGACCAGATTAGAGGCCAGGTGGCCTTTGGGTACAGAGACCTGGGCTCCCATCCTAGTTCTGCTATTTACTAACCGTGGGACCTTAAGGTGGATTGCTTAGCCTTCCTTCTCCAGCTCTTCATTTGAAAAATGGGACTGCTAATGACATCTGCCTCCCAGGCTGTGATTTTGAGTATCTAATAACATGGTACATGGAAAGAGCAGAACAGATACCAGTGTACTCAGACCATGATTTCCTTTCCCAGCAGGGTGCCAGGTGCAAGAAGCAGAAAGGAGTGGTCAGCAATGTGCATCTAGGACAGGTCAGGGCAAGCAGATGGGCTCAACTGGGAGAAGACAGTCAGGAGAGTGATTATCAGCCAGTAATCCCAGTATGTGTGGAATGATGGGGTAAAGTGTCTGATTCCCATAGAGATTTTTTATAGAGAGACCATTGTCCAGAGTTGGAGCTGTTTCCTGGGTGAGGCCAAATTGAGCCTGAAGGAAATGTCAGGCCACTGATGACACTGTGTTCCACTAGGAACCAGGCAGCTGATTTTGGATTTCAACACACAAGAAAGATCAATCAATGAATATTGGAGGAGACACCTGCCAGGTGTCAGCTCTATACCAGGTTCTATGTGAAGAACAGTGCCTAGTACTGGTGGGCATTTATATCTTTGTTGACTACGTGAATAGAAGAGAACATGTATTGATGACCTACTGTGTGCCTGATAATGCACTAAGTAGTATACCTATTTTGCCTCTTTTAAGTATCCTTATACTCACTATGACAGTGGCTCTCTCCTCATTTTATTAATGAGTGAGCTGATATGCAAAAAGGTTCAGAGAGGTTATGGGGCTTACCCCAAGTCCCACAGCCAGTAAGTAGCAGGGCCAGCCTAGCTCTAAAACCTACCCTCTTTCAGTTAAACCACAGGGCCTAAAGGCCTGCTCCCAAGCTGAAGGGTCATGTGATTTAATTGGGAAAATGAGGCCTCAAGAGGAAGAGGGCAGACTGTGATATTTAGGTTTAATAGCACGGGCCTGAGTGTGTGGAGGGCACTCCATTCTCTGCGGAGTGACAGGATCGTGTGCTGTTAATGCTCTTAAGACAAGGGAGGGAAAGGCCTCCTAACTGAGCCACGGGCTGTGACTCCGGAGGCCACGGGCCTTTCAGCTCTGCATTTGCTTCCCTCATTGAAGGTGAGCCCTTACTCCGCCTACCTTCACGATGCGGTCCTGCTCTATGCTCAGGCTGTGAGGGAGATGACAGCGGCCGGAAGGGACTTCCAGGATGGGCGGCAGCTGGTCAGCACTCTGAAAGGTTCCAACTGGACGGCATTGCAGGGTGAGTGGCTTGACTGCTGGGGGGTTTTCTGAACTCAGGCCTGCTGCTCTGGCTGGTAGGGTTTTGAGATGCATGGGATTAAAGGCCTCTTTTAGGGCCTGCCTCACACTACATCCCAGAATTCCTCTTTCTTATGAAGAAGATCCCAGGCTTCTGGAAGGGGCGGTTGAGGCTGAATCTCCCAGCTGCCACCGCCCACTCTTCCTGCTCTGTCCAGAAGGCTGCCTGGACTGGGTGAAGGGCACATTATCCCCTCCGCCCTGGAAAGTCTCTCCCACAGCTCCTTTCAAACTGAATCTGTCCAGAATAAAACCCAGGAGTGTGAGACCTTCCTCCTGGGGTCATGTCCATGATCCTTCCCATCCTGAACCCTCCTGGATGGGCTGCAGGGCCTGATTTATGACTGTCCCTGCAGGGGTGAGGACAGGTTTGGAAGTGGGCTGTTTGGAAATCACCCTGGCAGCTGACCAACTATGGTCAACTCTCTGTACTGCACTTTTCTCATTTGTAAGACACAGATAAGACTTTCTGCCACATATGATAATAACAGCCAGCATTTATTGAGGGCTTGCCTTTTATCAAGCTGGGTGCCCAGAGCTTGTGTGCTATCTTATGTGATCCTCATACAAACCACGAGGCAGTACTGTTATATCTGCATTGGACTATACAGGTGAGCAAACCCAGGGAGAAAGGTTATACTTGTCCAAGATCACAAAGTTCCTGGATGGGAGAGCCAGGGTTCAAATTAAGGCCTGTTTTTTTTATTCATTGTGTGTAACACTAAGGAGTAATAAATGTATATCAAATGCCTGTAGTGCATGCTCATTAAATGGTAGCTATTTATTTTTTCTTTGGCTTACCATTCACTTAATAAATTACCACCCAAAATTTGTCCTAAAATTGAAAGAGGGCAGCCACGTTCCATTCTTCGGGATTTTCACAGACCCACATTTAACCCATCAACACCTTCTGCAAGTGGAAAGATTAACTTGCTTCCCTCCCTTCTTTTCTTCTAGACCCTGATGCATTTGCTTTTAAAAAAGGAGGGTTGGGGAGTCTGTCTTCCTGTTCTCAATTTAATCCCCTCTGCCAATTCAATTTATTTGCTTTTTCCTGCCCTTTTAGAAAGTCCTAGTGATGGGATTAGGGGAAGGTGTGAAAGGCACAAAGGCCCTTAATGAGAGTCCAAGGCATCTCACTTTGGGGTTCTGGAATGCCAGGATCCTTGCAGGGACTCACAGCTGGAGTCCCTCCATTTTTCCAAACTGGCTTCTGTTTGCTTATAGGCTGCAGGACTAGCCCTTAACAAATTGGAATATTTGTCTCTGCTTCTTGTGTTCATTTCTGCCACACAGTAGCCAGGGCAACAGCCACAGAACTTGCAGAGGTCTTTGAACCAACTGGGAAAAGGCCCTGTTTGAGGAGGCCACAGTAGGACAGTGGGCACCCAGCCCCTCTTTGCACACTGAACAAACTACACACTGACAGCAGCAACCCTTCCCAGTTCAGACCTTGGGAGGGAGAAGTGCTCTCGCCCACATCCAGGATGTCAGCATGCCTGCTCACAGCAGGGCAGTGTGGGTGCTGGGAAGAGCACGGCAGTTGGGGCCCAATAAGCCTCCCCTTCCTGGCTCCAGAAACTCAGGTGAGTCTGAGCCTCCAAGCCCTGCTTGTGGGGAGTAATGCTGGTGCCTCCTCTGCAGGATCAGCTGGCATTAGACATGTGACATCACCACACAGTGCTGGGCACACCGCAAGTGCTTAATAAGTGATAATTGTGTCCTACTCCAAGAGGGAACAAATAAGCAATATGTGAGGCCACAGTTGCAGTTTGGGGTGTGGAGGTGCTGCACTTTACTGCTCCAGGACCCCTGATGTGCCCTTTGTATGGGGGTCCAGCACATCCTAAGCAAGAACAAAGACACACCTGGGCCAGGACTGAGCATGTGTCAGTGTTGCCAGCTGAGAACAAAGCTTGCAAACTTGTGTGCCAGAGCCTAGCAGCGAGGAGTGGGTGGGTGAGGAGGATGCTAGGGGCTGGGAGGAGTCAGCTGTCACAGCCAACGGCTGCCGTGTCATTTGGCCTCCTTTTGTCATATCTAATTGTTTACGGGAAGCATAAATCTTGGGTTTTAGGTGAAATGAGCTGGAAACTAGTTAACTTCTTTTTTTTAAATGCTGGATGAATGGGCTTCCCAGCATAGGCCTAACAAAATATATCAGCCTGCCCACAGTGGCCCTCAAGCCCCGACCAGGATCCCGCCTCTGAATTTTCTTTTCTTCACTGTCCTCCCTGACCCTCTCTCAGAATCCTTACAAAGGCAAAACTCTCAAGGCTGGCTTTCCGGGGCTGCTGGGGAGAGGTCTCTGCTGACAGGGGCTTGCAGGCTGGCATTGGGAGCCCGCATCCCTCTCTGTCCTCCTTACCCTGTGCAGTCTTCTCCCTCTGCAGGAGTCACCGGCCCCGTGATTGTGGACTCCCAGGGAGAAAGGCTCATGGATTATTTCATCTATGCCCTACAGAAATCTGGAAACGGGTCCCTCTTTCTTCCTTTTCTTCAGTATGACAGCTCTCAGAAGGTAATCAGGTAAGTGGCAGGACATTTCTTCATGTATAGAGCATGTTACAGGAAGAGACCTGGGAGAGGGAGGCCTGGGGGTCCTGCAGGGAAGCCTGTTTGGGATCCAGCTCCTAGAATCCACCACAAGTTGAATGGTGCTATATGAACTCAAAAAGATTGCCTTGTGGAGTCACGTGGCCACTTCAAATTCCAGTTTTGAACACAGCACTCCCTAACTGCACCTCCCCAGGGGTCCGGGCTGCCTCTGACCAGGCAGCAGGCAGGTCCCACTGGTCCATGGCCTCAGTGAGAGGCCCTAGCCCAGCATGGTGATGAAGCACAGCACCCCCAAGAGGGTCAGGTCCACCGGAAGTGAAACCCGACTCATCCCAACTGCCTGACTCTACAGCAGAGGCCTGGACACCAGGACCTGGGGGGTCATCCTGATTCCCAGGCTCAGGAATTCCTGGAAAAATCTTTTTGTTCTCAGCTATAAATCAATGAAAACACTAAAAGACAACCTAATTCAATTTCTACTTGTGTCCACCATCATCACGCCCAATCCAGATTTGATTCAACATTTTTTTTCTCTCTACTCTTAGGGAATTTTAATGTACTAAAATGAGTTGGCCAAGGAAATAAAATAACTGTGGCAAACAAGATCCTCTGCATTGTAGGAACAGGAGTTCTCCACATACAGGGAGATGTTTTGGTCTGTGAAATGTGAAGGTGCTTTAAAAAAAGGTTTGTCTGTATCAACTGTGGGAGAAAATCCCAGCAACACTGAGTAACTGGCCCATCATTTTATAACCAAAAGTGACATGGCTTAAATTAAAAGATTAAGTCAGTTATTCTGCCTAGCAGAAAGATACTGCTCTTTCATGAATTAGATTACCTGAAAGCCTGGATTTGAAGTGTCTGGCTGAGGTGAGAAAATTCGATGGAATGGTAAAAGTTTCAGTTAAGACACTAAGGCTGCTTTTTGCAAAGGCATTCCTGTTTCAGTTGCCCTGGTATATCCGAGGTAGAGACAAACAGAGCTAAGTGGACACTGGCCTTTAACTGTTTTTTTGTTTTTTTTTTTAAGACCCGTGAGGAATTTCTCTACTCTTCCTTGGCCCCAGGGCTCCCTTCCTGAAGACAGAGCCGACTGTGGGTTTTACAATGAGCTCTGTGAAACTGAGCCTGCTTTTACAGGTCAGTGTGGGCGCTTGGAGAAGGCAGCAGGAAGGATTCCCCACAGCAGGGCTTCTCAATGGCAGCAGCACTGCTGGCATTTTGTGGGATAATCTTTGTGTGTGGGGCTGTCCTATGCACTGAGGAAGCTTAGCTGTGTCCCTGGCCTCCATCCACTAGATGCCAGGGATACCGTCTAGTTGTAACAATGCAAAATGCCTTCAGATATTGCCAAATATCCCCTAGGGAGGTAATATCACCTGCCTCCCCTGTTGAGAACCTCTGCCTTAGGGAACCCTGACTCCTGAGATCTGAGTTTCAGAAGCTTTATTTCTGAGGAGGCAGAAAGCATCTGGAGAAAGGAAGTGTTGCCTGGTGATCAGGACCCCAGCTTTGGAATTAGATGGTTCATAACTGAGAACAACTTTACGGAGAGCTCACAATACATGTTTAATAAAAGGTGGTGGTGTGGTATTAGAAGTCATCACTTTTCTCCACAATGAAAGTTTCTATACAGAGGGAGGCAGTGGCCGTGGGAACCAGAGGAGAGGTCAGAAAAGGATTTCTGCAAAAGACAAGTCTGAGTGGCTTCAGTTGTCCAAACTTGGACATACACCTGGGCAGCCTCTGAGAGCCAGGCTGGGGTCAGGGCATTCTCTTCTGGGTGCAGGCAGGCTTGAGTAAGAACATGTCTCTGCCCTCCAGGTGTGGCTGTTCTGATCCTCATGATGACCCTCCTGATGACTGTCCTGGGAGCTGTCATCATAGGTCTGATTTTAAGGATGCAGCGGGGAAAACTCCAGAGGCAAAATATTTTTTTTTAAGACCCGTGAGGAATTTCTCTACTCTTCCTTGGCCCCAGGGCTCCCTTCCTGAAGACAGAGCCGACTGTGGGTTTTACAATGAGCTCTGTGAAACTGAGCCTGCTTTTACAGGTCAGTGTGGGCGCTTGGAGAAGGCAGCAGGAAGGATTCCCCACAGCAGGGCTTCTCAATGGCAGCAGCACTGCTGGCATTTTGTGGGATAATCTTTGTGTGTGGGGCTGTCCTATGCACTGAGGAAGCTTAGCTGTGTCCCTGGCCTCCATCCACTAGATGCCAGGGATACCGTCTAGTTGTAACAATGCAAAATGCCTTCAGATATTGCCAAATATCCCCTAGGGAGGTAATATCACCTGCCTCCCCTGTTGAGAACCTCTGCCTTAGGGAACCCTGACTCCTGAGATCTGAGTTTCAGAAGCTTTATTTCTGAGGAGGCAGAAAGCATCTGGAGAAAGGAAGTGTTGCCTGGTGATCAGGACCCCAGCTTTGGAATTAGATGGTTCATAACTGAGAACAACTTTACGGAGAGCTCACAATACATGTTTAATAAAAGGTGGTGGTGTGGTATTAGAAGTCATCACTTTTCTCCACAATGAAAGTTTCTATACAGAGGGAGGCAGTGGCCGTGGGAACCAGAGGAGAGGTCAGAAAAGGATTTCTGCAAAAGACAAGTCTGAGTGGCTTCAGTTGTCCAAACTTGGACATACACCTGGGCAGCCTCTGAGAGCCAGGCTGGGGTCAGGGCATTCTCTTCTGGGTGCAGGCAGGCTTGAGTAAGAACATGTCTCTGCCCTCCAGGTGTGGCTGTTCTGATCCTCATGATGACCCTCCTGATGACTGTCCTGGGAGCTGTCATCATAGGTCTGATTTTAAGGATGCAGCGGGGAAAACTCCAGAGGCAAAATACAGACATCTGGTGGCAAATCAATCATGATGACATCACCATTCTGTCCCAGCACAAGGTGAGGCCGCACCTGGCCCAGACATCCATTTTCCTGCTCCCTGCTAGTGATTTGTGGAAGAAACCTCATTTAGGAGTTTATGAGAACACAGGCTGACTCATTTATAAAATGAATGAATATTTGAGAGTCTTGAGTCCTCCGTTCTTGTTCTAGGCCTACCACTTATTTGCTGATCAACTGTGGGAGCATCCTTTCTGTGCCTTAGTTTCTGAATACTTAAATGATCAGATGATCTAGAAAGTTCCCTTCAGCTCTATTGCCCTGTGGGTGTATATATGTAAATATCCTGCTTACCTATTGAAGTTGTCTCCTGGGAACACTTATTTTCCAAAGTACTCCTAATTTCTTTAACTTACTGATGACTACTACTATAAGACTCACTTGCTCAACACATACATGTCATACATATACTGTGGGTCAAGCATAATGCAAGTCATGGGATTGCACCACAAATGAGATGCCTTCAAAGGGAACCGGGTACTCTGAGGTTGCTTACAAGGTAAGACAGGACCCCAGCAGGTGGAGGGATTAAATGCCTCAGCATCATGAGGGGCTTCAAAGAGGAGGTGGCATGTAGGAAGAGTACGTTTGCTAACGGTGATCAGAAAGGAAGTAACACAGGATATGCCAAGACGCAGGATGCTCAGGGCTGGGAGGCTTAACACATATTTAATAAGCAGGACATCTTCTGATAAGTATGTAATACATAATTTCAAAAAATACTGCCATGGCTGTCTTTTATGTGTATGTTTTAGCTTGAAATTTTGAAGTTTCTTTCCTTTTTTCTTTTTGTTATTGATATTAAATAGTATAACATTTGCAAGTATATATTAATTATTCTGGAGCATTTACTGCCTTACCAGAAATGTTAGTAAGAAATGTTCTTAGGGTCTAAAGATAGACTTGCATTTCTATACTTTAATGAGTTCTCTTTATTAGTGGGAAGAGACAGAGGAAGAGGGTGAATTTTAATTTCATCTCAACTTATTAAAGTACACAGCTGAAATAAATTTTCTTCGAAGATCAGTAATTTTAGAAATTTCATATATTACTTGCTCAGGAGTATAATGCTACTCAAGGTATTAGGAGAGTAACAAAATATGTAGATTTACTGTTGAATCAGAATCTATGTACTGGAACAGATGTATAAATCTTAAATATCTCAAAGCAAAATGAAAGTGTTTTAGAGTTTTGCTTGTTAAAAAAGCACTAGTTAGACCAAGGTATACAGATTTGTTCTCACAAACTTTCATGTTAATTGTAAAGATTAACATTACGCATTATGGGTCACGCTCACTTTCCTCATGTTATAAATAATTTCTTCCTGTTATATTGGCTTTATTTTCAAAATTTTAGTTTGCAGTGTTAGTTTCCTTTTGTTGGTATTCTTACGTATATTATCCATTGGATGAATTATGACTTTCAAAAAATAAAGGTGCTTGGCTGGTACCAAGTCAAGGAGGCTTCCACATCCTACGACTGGGACATTGGGCTCATTAGTAAGGCATTTTCAAATATCCTTGGGGATTCTGGGGCTCACTGGTCTGGTCTTGGGTGAATGATGGATTGGGGGTAGAGGCGTAATAGGAAGGAAACCTGAGCCTGCCTCTTCCCTCTTCAACCAGACTAGTTCTGCTTTGATCTATCTGATTTCTACATTAGGGTTCCAGGTAAGACTTTCCTCAAAAAAGAGAGCTCTTCTCAGTGTTGGGGAAGCACTGGGGGGATTGTTAGATGCCCATTTAGGACAGTGATTCTGACATTAGGCTACACATCTAGCTAAGTGCCAGAGCCAGACTTGAATTTGGGCAGTCTGACCCCAGAGCCTTAACCATGACACTGTGGCCACTGACACGTGTAGCAGTTAGGGGCTCACACTTTGGATCAGGGAGATCAGGGTTCGAACCCTGACTTTCCCAGTTAACTGTGACACCTTGGCACTCATTTTCCTCGTCTATGAAAGGAACAGTCTTTTCAGTAGTTGGTCATGTTACTGAGAGAAACCAAACCATGTCCTGTTTTACAGCCATCCCAGAGAGGCACACCTGTGTCGAGAGGGAACAACAGCAACTCGTCCAGGGTGATGATTTCTGGGGACTTCAGTTCCTTTGTCAAGAGCCAGCAGGGGGAAGAGCTCTTCTATGCCCCAGTAGGGCTTTACCAGGTACTGTGAGGGCAAAATGGAGGAATGTAGGGCCTAGTGTGTGTCTGTCCTGTTCTCTGCATGTCCTTCCTGTCAGGCAGGGTACGTTGAATAGGGGGACATTCCCCAAGTATAAGCCAAGGTAATCTTGTGTCTCCAGACTGGTGCTTTCCAAACTCTTATGTGCGAATCAATCACCTGGAGCTCTTGTTTAAATGCAGATGCCAGTTCAGGAGGTCTGGGGTGGAGCCTGAGATTCTGCATTTTCCCTAACAAAACTCTCCAGGGGTTCCTCTGCTGGCCTCTAGAGTAGATTCAACTCTGTCCAGTAGAACTTTCCATAGAGGTAGAAACATTCCAGCCCTGCATGGTCCACTAGTGTCACGTGACTATTAAACATTAGTGTGACTGGAGAACTGAATTGTACTTCAGTTTTATGTCATTTTAATTAATTCACATAGTCCCATGTGGCTCGTGGCTACCTTATTGGGCAGGGGAGGTCCTAGAGCCTGGATTGTTTCATCCTTGATGTTTTAGTCCTGAGGAATGTGTCATGGGTACTGATGCCTCTGCATGTTAAAGAGTGACAGCAGAGGCTGAAGCTGCAGCGTGATTCCTGCCTTCCCTTTTGCACCCTCTCTTCCACATCCAGACCACTGTGACTGCCTGTGCTTGGCACACCTTCAGAAATTCAAGTCTCCTGGGGAAAAAATTAAAGAAAAAATAAATCTATATCTATTCTTTGAAATGGAAGTCCCATAGATTAGAGGCAGAAATTCTCCCAAGGAAGGGAAGACTTATTCCTTGTTCTAATTTGGGTTTAGCAAAGATTGGAGCCAAATCATTCTCTACACAACTGAACTTATTTTTCTAAGTGTTTTACTTGAGTTTTCAAACTATTAAAAACTTCCTTAGACATTATCACCCATAACACCCTGAGGACCTCCATTCATACAAAATGTGATACTATGGTCCAAACTAGCCATTTAGAGAGGGAAGCCAACAATCCACAGCGTATCACCACTGGTTATCTTCCTAAAATGTTTCCTCTCTTCTCTATTAACACCAGCCCTGGGTTCCCTACCTCTGTTGCTTATAATGGTGTACAGACTCTTTACCAAGGGATTCAAGGCTCTCTACTGCTTAGCCCACCTACTTTCAGAACCTTTTCTCCCCTGGTCTAAATCCTATACTCATCCAGTGGATCGGTTTTACTGATTATGCCACTGGATGTTTCGGCCTCCGACAGTAACACGCCTACTGCCTGCTCCCCATCCCGTCTGGAACTTTCTTCTCCTTCCAGGTTCAGTGTAAGCATAATCTCTTCTAAGAAGCTTCTCGTTCATCCTGCATGGATCCTTCCTCCTGGGAGCCCCCGTCACAGCCCTGAGTCCTTTGCAGTTAATCCTATCCTGAATGTGGCCGATCTTGGGTTGACATTTAACCCGTACCGAGTCTTACTTTCTCTTGTGTTTGGATTCTATCTCTTCTTCTTCTCAGATCTTTCCAGGATGTTGTTTGTTTTTGTGGTAATTGATTAAGTAACTCTCTAAAAGCAGACTCAATAGGTAATAACAATAAGGTATGCCACTTACTAAAAATGTGGTATGTGCCAAGTATTGATTTAACGGTGTTATGTATTATAACTGATTCAATGCTTGAAACTATTAGATAGGAATTATTTTTAATCTCCATTGTACAGATGAGGAAATGGGGGTTTGAAGAGGTTAAATCCCTTGCTCAAGTTTATGCAGGTAGATAAGTGGTAGAAATGGGCTTTGAACCAGATATTTGGCTCCAGAATTACACTTAGGACCTTCCTCATTATTCCTCTGAATAATAGGACATTATTGTACAATAGAAAGTGTGCACTCTTAGCGTCAGACATGCAAATTCTGGCTGTTCTGTGTACAAATATGTGACCATGGATGAGTTATCTAATCTCGGTGTTCCCATCTGGAAATGAGCTCATCATACTTTGTGGACTGTGATGTCTGTTCAGTGAGAGGCTAGCTCAGCTCCTGGACACAGCACAGTGCCCGCCTGGGGCTGGTCTGGGCACTGAGGGGCTTGCTGATCCCTCCCATAGGTGGATTTTTGCAGTCTTCCTGCTCTCCTGCCCAGCTCTTTCTCCCATTTAGGACAGTGATTCTGACATTAGGCTACACATCTAGCTAAGTGCCAGAGCCAGACTTGAATTTGGGCAGTCTGACCCCAGAGCCTTAACCATGACACTGTGGCCACTGACACGTGTAGCAGTTAGGGGCTCACACTTTGGATCAGGGAGATCAGGGTTCGAACCGTGACTTTCCCAGTTAACTGTGACACCTTGGCACTCATTTTCCTCGTCTATGAAAGGAACAGTCTTTTCAGTAGTTGGTCATGTTACTGAGAGAAACCAAACCATGTCCTGTTTTACAGCCATCCCAGAGAGGCACACCTGTGTCGAGAGGGAACAACAGCAACTCGTCCAGGGTGATGATTTCTGGGGACTTCAGTTCCTTTGTCAAGAGCCAGCAGGGGGAAGAGCTCTTCTATGCCCCAGTAGGGCTTTACCAGGTACTGTGAGGGCAAAATGGAGGAATGTAGGGCCTAGTGTGTGTCTGTCCTGTTCTCTGCATGTCCTTCCTGTCAGGCAGGGTACGTTGAATAGGGGGACATTCCCCAAGTATAAGCCAAGGTAATCTTGTGTCTCCAGACTGGTGCTTTCCAAACTCTTATGTGCGAATCAATCACCTGGAGCTCTTGTTTAAATGCAGATGCCAGTTCAGGAGGTCTGGGGTGGAGCCTGAGATTCTGCATTTTCCCTAACAAAACTCTCCAGGGGTTCCTCTGCTGGCCTCTAGAGTAGATTCAACTCTGTCCAGTAGAACTTTCCATAGAGGTAGAAACATTCCAGCCCTGCATGGTCCACTAGTGTCACGTGACTATTAAACATTAGTGTGACTGGAGAACTGAATTGTACTTCAGTTTTATGTCATTTTAATTAATTCACATAGTCCCATGTGGCTCGTGGCTACCTTATTGGGCAGGGGAGGTCCTAGAGCCTGGATTGTTTCATCCTTGATGTTTTAGTCCTGAGGAATGTGTCATGGGTACTGATGCCTCTGCATGTTAAAGAGTGACAGCAGAGGCTGAAGCTGCAGCGTGATTCCTGCCTTCCCTTTTGCACCCTCTCTTCCATATCCAGACCACTGTGACTGCCTGTGCTTGGCACACCTTCAGAAATTCAAGTCTCCTGGGGGAAAAATTAAAGAAAAAATAAATCTATATCTATTCTTTGAAATGGAAGTCCCATAGATTAGAGGCAGAAATTCTCCCAAGGAAGGGAAGACTTATTCCTTGTTCTAATTTGGGTTTAGCAAAGATTGGAGCCAAATCATTCTCTACACAACTGAACTTATTTTTCTAAGTGTTTTACTTGAGTTTTCAAACTATTAAAAACTTCCTTAGACATTATCACCCATAACACCCTGAGGACCTCCATTCATACAAAATGTGATACTATGGTCCAAACTAGCCATTTAGAGAGGGAAGCCAACAATCCACAGCGTATCACCACTGGTTATCTTCCTAAAATGTTTCCTCTCTTCTCTATTAACACCAGCCCTGGGTTCCCTACCTCTGTTGCTTATAATGGTGTACAGACTCTTTACCAAGGGATTCAAGGCTCTCTACTGCTTAGCCCACCTACTTTCAGAACCTTTTCTCCCCTGGTCTAAATCCTATACTCATCCAGTGGATCGGTTTTACTGATTATGCCACTGGATGTTTCGGCCTCCGACAGTAACACGCCTACTGCCTGCTCCCCATCCCGTCTGGAACTTTCTTCTCCTTCCAGGTTCAGTGTAAGCATAATCTCTTCTAAGAAGCTTCTCGTTCATCCTGCATGGATCCTTCCTCCTGGGAGCCCCCGTCACAGCCCTGAGTCCTTTGCAGTTAATCCTATCCTGAATGTGGCCGATCTTGGGTTGACATTTAACCCGTACCGAGTCTTACTTTCTCTTGTGTTTGGATTCTATCTCTTCTTCTTCTCAGATCTTTCCAGGATGTTGTTTGTTTTTGTGGTAATTGATTAAGTAACTCTCTAAAAGCAGACTCAATAGGTAATAACAATAAGGTATGCCACTTACTAAAAATGTGGTATGTGCCAAGTATTGATTTAACGGTGTTATGTATTATAACTGATTCAATGCTTGAAACTATTAGATAGGAATTATTTTTAATCTCCATTGTACAGATGAGGAAATGGGGGTTTGAAGAGGTTAAATCCCTTGCTCAAGTTTATGCAGGTAGATAAGTGGTAGAAATGGGCTTTGAACCAGATATTTGGCTCCAGAATTACACTTAGGACCTTCCTCATTATTCCTCTGAATAATAGGACATTATTGTACAATAGAAAGTGTGCACTCTTAGCGTCAGACATGCAAATTCTGGCTGTTCTGTGTACAAATATGTGACCATGGATGAGTTATCTAATCTCAGTGTTCCCATCTGGAAATGAGCTCATCATACTTTGTGGACTGTGATGTCTGTTCAGTGAGAGGCTAGCTCAGCTCCTGGACACAGCACAGTGCCCGCCTGGGGCTGGTCTGGGCACTGAGGGGCTTGCTGATCCCTCCCATAGGTGGATTTTTGCAGTCTTCCTGCTCTCCTGCCCAGCTCTTTCTGAGTGGAGCTTTTTCTGGGTCATCCTAGGTTAAAATCACTCCACTTTGTCTTTGGTTCCAGGGAAACCATGTGGCCCTCTGCTATGTTGGTGACCAAGCAGAAGCCTGGATCAGGAAGCCCAATGTGCTGCAGGAAATCCGGCTGGTGAGGCCTCCACCCCTGGGAGGAAACAAAGCGGCTCTGTTTCTTGGCCCTCCCCTGCCAGCTTCCTGTTCCCACCAGGGAAGACCCTGGTCCAGAGCACCAGTGACGGGAAGCTGCTTCCCTTAACTTGGCCACCCCCACCCCCCCAACAGCCCAGACTTTAGACCTCAGAGCCTGGGACTGCCCTTTTCCTAGCCTTGCTCTTTGCCCTCACTTCTTGGCCTTAATTCTGCCTCTTCATCCCTTCGAGTCTGTGATGGCTGCTCACTTCCCTTGAACCTGGTCCTTGGAGGGAGTGAGGTACATGGGATCTGACTTTTTGCCCCCAGTCTGTGATGTGCTGTGGCCCACACACTGGCATGGACAGCCATAGACACTGGGATGCAGGTCTGGGTCTATTCCCTGTGAAGTGGTTTTTATTAGTTTATGGCTAAAGTTAGAACTTCATCATTCCTATGGCTTCTTTGCTGAAGGCAGATTGCCTGGATTTCCCTCCCAGCTCTGCTGCTACGAAGTTGTATGATTTTTACACATTATTTTACCTTTAGAGCATCAGTTTCTTCAGCTGTGAAATGGGAGCAGTCGTGGTTCTATTTTAGAGGGTCTCGATGAGAATGAACCAAAGTATGTAAAGAATATAGCCTAGTCCTGAGCAAGAAGACATACCATAACCATAACCTATTATTACCATGATTATTTCCAGATGTATGAATTAAAGCACGAAAACATTGTTCCCTTCTTTGGTATATGCACAGAACCACCAAACATCTGCATTGTCACCCAGTATTGTAAAAAAGGGAGTCTTAAGGTAAGTGAACCAGTAAGTCTTACACCAGGCTTGAGTAACAGCAGCTAATATAAAGAACCTTATCAATGCTTTTGCCCTTTGGTCCCAGAACAGTTAATCCGTGGCTTAATTGCAAGACCTGAATTATCCTGTCGGGCCACCTTTAGGGGATCAAATTAGCAGTGGAGTTGCCAGGTGTCTGGTTCCCTTTGTTCCGGGTGAAAATTGTCTGAGCTTGGTTTTGACTCCTAAGATGTAACAGCCTCTTCTGTATTGCATTCCTGGACCCATCCTACCTATGGTGTGTGACCATTAGCTTTATGTCTGGAACGAGGAAGTTTTTCTAACACTCCAGACTGTGTTAACTTGGTATCTCCTGGGAAGATTTCTGGGTGCTAGATTTAGAGTATTCTGCCTCAAGTTGTATTAGTTATGGACCAAGTAATCCAATGTACTGGAATCAAATCCATTTAACATACGAATCTTACTGTGCTTCTGGTTGAGTCACTAGTGATATTTTGAACAACTGTGTTTTTCAGGATGTTTTGAGAAATGCAGATAATGATATGGATTGGATATTCAAACTCTCATTTGCATATGACATAGTCAATGTGAGTATCACATAAAACTTATTTAAAAACAAATACCATAGTATTTTTGAGTTGTTCTGTGTCTTGGATTAATTTGAACTATAATCTTTCCTGAAAATCCTCATCCTCTTCAGATCTCTTTGCTTCAGAAGTGATTCCACTTCTATAATTCACCACTGCAATCAGATATTCTATTCTTTTCCCCTCCCAGTTCAAAAGTAAATATCAAGAGAATAAACTATTTTATACTATTGTTGGAAGGGATGCTAGGTTTACTCAAACAGGAAAGAGCATGGTATTTATATTGTAGGATAGAACTTTTTACTCCCAAAGAAAATCTAATTGCTAGACTATGAAACTTCCAGGGGAAGGTGGTTCCAAAGTAGCCATTCCTTTTCTTAGTCCTCAATTCCTTTCCCCAGAAAAGAAGCTCAGGGCCACAGTAGGTGCAAAACTGTTGACCTCAGGGGTGGACTATGGATGCAGATCTTGGGAGGTATAAAGGCAGGCAGAAACTGTACTTTGGGTAAGAGCCTGTGGTGGCTGCAAAGAACAGTAGTAATAATAATAATAATAGTAACAATAATGGTAGCTAAAGTATATACAGTGCTTACTTTGGCCCCATACTTTCTAGCACTTTGTATGTATTAATTAGTTTAATTCTCATGACAAAATATCAAGTAGGTCTATTGTTATCCCCATTGCACAGATGGGAGATGAGTCAGATGGGCCATGTCAGTATGGACCAGCATCCTGAGGCTGCTCTTCTCACCCTGGGCTAAAATTCAGCTGTTTTTTCTAAATTCTCTGCATTTATTTTTACCATCAGAGGGGACCAAGCCAATGACCTGTGAGTGGGTCTTGGTAAGGAAGTCCATCCATCTGACACATGGGCAGCAGGGCAAGGACTGGTCTGTCAAGCAATAGTCGTCCATCAACCAATAGATTACTCCAGACAAGACCTGGCCTGGGTGTTTTGAGGGACAGCAGGTGAAGCCTAAGTTCTCTCTCCTGCAGGGAGAGGGCCAGTGGCTTGTTAAGGACTTTGGCAAATCACTTCCCCTCTCTGGAGCTCAGTTTTCATGTAGGCTTCATCAGTGGATGAAGTTGGCCTGATTGTATGCAAGGGCTTTTCTTCCTAAAGGATTTGACTGCTCCTTGTTTCTGAGGAGCTGAGCCTTAATGACCTTGTAAAACTTCAATTTCCTAGGCCTTAGTGGGAAGCAGCATATTGTTGTCAAGCAAGGTAAACAAACAAAAGCCTCCCCATAACTGGGTCTCCATGGACAACCTTGGGTCACGACTTTTATTGTTTCAGTAAAATTTTATTGAGCATCTATTAAGGGTTTGTTCTATTCTGGATACTTAATAGGAAGATAAGGTCTGGTTTCTATTTTTGAATGGCTTAAGATCTAGCTAGAGAAAACAAATTAAAGAACCCTAAGAAAATATACCTATAAAATTCTTTAAGTTGTGGTGGAATGGTTATATCATAGGAAGCTCTGATGTAGCATCGTCTCCTACTCTGGGATCCTCTCTCCTTCCCTTCCCACCAAGCCCAGGGAAGTACTCTAGACTCCAGTGATCTGTCTCCTGCCCCAGTCAAAACAGCTGATGTTGTATAGACTGGATGTGAAGAGAAAGCTAGTAAGTTCTCCCAAGGTTTGAATGACTAATAGGTTAATTTTTTTCAGTGTGGGCTTTTGATTTTAAAGAAGCATTGACCCAAAGGTTCTCTGGAGAAATGCTGGGGGCAGTGGGAATGGCACTTTGAAGGCGACAATCTCCCTGGTGGTCACTGGCTATTCTAGGTCACTGAGTCTGTCCCTTAATCCATAGCAGAAGCAGCAGCTTGACACCGCTTTTGAAGGGTCGTCATCTCCTGAAATGGAATGTGTGATTACGGGATTGTGTAAGGAGCTCACAATGAGTTAGGTCAAGGCACATGTAGGTCCTTCAAGGCCCCAGTTACTCTGCCAACACTCCTTGAAAGGGGACTGAGAGTAACACAAAATTCACTACAGCCTCTTAGCTTTGCCATGGGGGATTTGGCATTAACTCAGCCACTGGGCCAAGCTCTGTGGGTCAGATCGTGCTGTGACCATTACATACCAATCATAAAAACAATTCTTCCCCCAATATCTGTTTGACCAGAATCAACTCTGTATCAGGTACCAGAGAGATTCTGAGATGTTGCAGGCTTTTCAAGCCAACAAACGTGTATGATTGAGCCTCTAATTTGCGTCAGACCCAGTTCTGGGCATGGAGGGCACAGAGGAATAAGGCTCATTGCTCTGTCCCTAAGGAGTTCTGTCCAATGGGGCCAGCCTGGGAAGGAGCTTTGGAGAGTATAATACTCTTCTTCAGTTTGGGACAGGCTTTAATTACAAGTAGAGAAGTTTTGATGGATTAAGAGGATGAAGGGCAGTTTGGCACAGAAGTTGTCTTGGGGGCTTGAACCCTGGCTTTGCCAGCACTGACAGCTGACCTTAACTACACTGAGCCTCAGTTTCCCTGTGCATAAAATAAAAATAACAGCAGTGCCCACCTCATCAGGTTGTTGTGAGGACTAAGGTATATAAAATATTTGGCACCATACCTACTTTGTAACAGGGAGTAAGTGTAAACTATTAGCAGAAGCAGTAATATTACTCTTATCACAGATAATTCCATTGTTAGCACTAAAAACCATACATTTACAAAATTTAATTCCTCCAACAATTCTAAAAAATGAGGCAGCATTGTCTAACTATGGTAGTACCAGCTACAGTGGCCACTGAACACTGGCAACATGGCTAGCCCCAACCGGGGTATGCTCTAAGGATAAAATTCATGCCAGGTTCAAAGACTTAGTTTACATTCTTTCCTTTTTTTTACTCTCTCACTAATATTTTCATGTTGATTAAATGTTGAAATGATAAGATTTTGATACATTGGGTTAAGTAAAATATATGAAAATTCATTTCAGCTGTTTAAAAAATGTAAAGTTACACATGAGGCTTGCATTATGATTACACTAACAGTGCACTCAAGAATTAGCAACTAATTCCATTATTACTTCATCTTAACTCCGATGTGAATAATATTAATATTTATTCCATTTTCAAGAGGATGAAAAATGAAACTTAGTGAGATGAAGTCACCTGTCCAACTGGTGAGATGCACATTGGGCTTTGCAGCCAGTCTGTCTCAATGGCTGAGTTCCTTCTTCCATGTTATGCTTCCTCCTTCCACGTACAAGAGAGCAAAGATATGGGATCCAGAGATAGGAGGGTTGGGTGCCACCCCCAACCTGTCAGCAGGGAAGTAATCAATAAAAGGTAATTAAATTTCATGCCAAAAGTGCATGAAATCTGGCACATAAATTGTGAACCTCTCGTAGTTCTTTTATTTGGTCTGTGGCAATACACATTAAATCACACATTTCTATAAGGAAAAAAAAAAAGATGAAAAGATGTGTGCCATTCCTTGGAGAGGGCTGCATACTTAGGATTCTTGAATGTCTCTAAACATGTCATGGGTGCCCTAATGAAATGAGGTCTGCTGGTCTACCTGGCTGTCTGGGGTGATTGGTGGTGACTGGGTATAAAATGTCTTAGGCCTAGGGTAGGCCAGGCACTAGCAGGCACTAGGGTAGGCAGGCACAGTTGTGTGTGTCAGGGCCAGTCCTGCTGCTGCATGGAGAGGTCTTTGTGAGGTCAGAGAGAGTCCTGGACTGGACACAGGTCTCCCCAGATTTCAAGCCCAGACTTTGGGCTGTTGGAGCCTCCTCGGAGAAATGGCAGAGGCAGCCCCAGCCAGACCCCAGCCTTCCCTGAGTGGGTTTTGTTTCCAAAATGTGACTCCACTTTATCACCTCAAAAAAGCATAGAAGCCACCTTGATAAAGGAACATGGCCTCCTGATGTGTTTGCAGGGCTGGTGGGGCCGGTGTGTCCACTGTCCTGGCGGTTTCCTTACTGCTTTCTGTATTAGCCTGTGTTTCTAGTGCAGTATTGGCCCAGGGCTCTTGCTAAAGCAGGACAGTGGCTCAGCCTGTGATCAGCGCTGGAGGAAGAGATGTGTCCCTGAGCTCGTGTCCAGGAAGCCCAAGAAGTCGTTCCCTGGGTACAAGAGTCCATTCAGGAGACCTCCTCACAGCCCTCCTTGCTTAAACAGGCAGGGCGCGTGCCTCCTCCTAGCCAGGCCCACGGGCGACTTCAGCCTGCTTCTCACTAGGCGCCAGCTTCATATGAACCTGCTGTTTCTGTGCAGTGGTGTTGGGAGAACAGGTGTGCTTTGACCCACCCTCCTCCTCCTCGCCAGTCACTCAGGGCATCGGAAACAATAAAGTCTAGTGGTTTAGAAGTGGCTGGGCTTTGAAGGCAACGCAGCCTGGGTTTATACCCCAGCTCTGACCCCACTCCTTGGGGGAAATTTAAAACCCTGAGTTTCCTCTTTGGGAAACAGAGAATGAGAATATTAACCTGTCTCAGGAAAGACAAAATGTGAAAATATGTGTAAAGTGTCCTGGACAATGCATAGTGCAAAGCGTTCAAAGAAAGCTTTACTGTTATTTATTTGTTCGTCACAAATCCATATTATAGAATGAATTTCCATGGAAACTTGTGGCTAAAATGAAGCATTCAATCTCTTCTCACTCTCTGCCCTTCACAGCCTTCATTTATTAGCAAAGGGGCAGTTGGGCAGTGGGTCAAGGGCATGGACTTGGGAATCAGATGGCAGAATTCCCAGTTTCTGCTTCTCCCTTTACTCATCGGTAAAATGAGGTTGACGATAACGCCACCTACCTGTACAATAGGGGGATTACATGAGTTAAAGAAATAGACTTGGATAGATACCTGAGTAAGGTTAACACTATTAACGTTAAAAAAAGGATCCTGTAAGACTTTGAGAGAGGAATTGTCATTTTCTTTCTTGCTCTGAAACCTGGTACGTGCGGGAGGTGTGAGGAGGCCCAGACTACCGAGGCTGATGCAGGTAGAACGGCTCCATGACAGCCCCGTACCTGTGGGACGGGACGGTTGCCTTCCTGCCAGCTCCTAAACTAACTATTCTGAAAATGAATGATTCAGAGAATCAGGTCAAAGATATAGAAAGCCTTTATGTCAATACTTTAAGTCCAAGAAACTGGAAATGTTAAATAAATATTATTAAAATGCCTTCTCACGAAGCAATCAAGGAAGACAAGTGAAACCTGAAATGATAAACCGTGGGTCCCCTATCTCCCTGCACTATCATTGTTCACTTCTGAAATGCGTTTGGCCGCGTCCTTCTAACCATCACTTTACCCTTCTAGGCCTGCCCTTGAAAACTTCAGAGAAATACAAACATCTGTCTCTCTAATCATGTTTCAAATACGACAGTTCCTGTTTCCCAGATTTCTCTCTTCTCCTACCTGTCCTCCCAAAGTAACAGTTTCCTCCTCAACTCCAGATCTTTCTTGAAGCCCCTCCCTATGCGTGGGAAGACCCACACCCTCTGCCTTCATCTCCTTGTTAAATGAGCGTGGTCTCCGCCTCTCTGACTCACCTCCTTTAGCAAGCTCCCCAGATTGGCCCTCTTTTCCCCATTCTGATCATTCCCCTGTTTTGGGTTCTCTAGTGCTCAGGCTTGGCTTGCACCACATATAGTTTGTAGCTAATACAGGTTCTTGTGTTTGGGCCCAACTATTGGTATTTTCTTTTTAAGCTCCCCAGGTGATTTTATGGTGCAGCCAAGTTTGGGAACAATTTCCAAGGACAAGTTCTCCGCGGTCCAATGTGCACGTGAAATCTGGGGATGGCTGTAAGGCTAAAATGCACAGTCTGATTCAGTAGGTCTGGGTGGGGCCTGAGATTCTGCATTTCTGGCAAGGTCACAAGGAAAGCTGATGCTGTAGGTCCCCAGGCCACCTTTCAGGTAGCAGAGGTCTAAGCAGTCCCATCACAACAGATGGTGAAATCAAGGCCCAGTGAGTTGCAGTGACCTGCTTGAAGAGACTGAGTAGTCAAGTCTAGACTTGAATACCTATCTTCTGACTCTAGTGTTCTTTCTGCTCTCTTCATAAATAACGGTACTTCATTATTGCATTTTATTTATTTATTTCATTTTATTGCCTTTCCCTGAGAAATGCTCAAACAGGACCATTAAGTACATGTAATAGAATATAATATTCCATTGTTATAGAATCATTGTATATAGTTAGTAATAAAATCTGATTTGAAATATATAGGTAATAAAATAATATTCTTAATCACATAGTGTTTCCATATTGTTGATATTCTTTACCATATTTATATAAACTTTTTGTTATAATTTATAGAGGATATTTACTTTGTGTCACACACTGTGTCCATTTTTCCATTTAATCTCCCCAGCCACCCTATGAGGCAGGGATTACTGTCACCCTCTTCTAGATGAGAAGAATAGGCTTAACAGAGGTAAAGTTACTTGGTCTTAACTAAGATTTAGAGCTGGGATTTGCATTCAAGAGTCTGACCACTAGGTCAGACTTAATTTTATTTAGTTGGCTTAGCTTATTTATTTTAAGCTGGCCTTGCCTTTGTGACTCTACACTGAGGGTCCAGAAATATTTTTCTCTTTTTAGGGTGCCCGTACCCAGGTTGACCTCATGCTCAAGGGGCTGTGTATTAGTGGCTTATGAACAAATGAACCCAGAGGTGGGCATATCCTCCTGCCCTGGGTCCAGCTGTGTTTCTGTCCATCTGTTTCTCTGCCTCTGTTTCTTCCAGTGGTATCGTTGGCACCTGTTCTAATTCGTTTGCTCAATTTCACTCTTCCAGGGCATGCTGTTCCTCCACAGGAGCCCCCTGAAGTCTCACGGCAACCTGAAACCTTCCAACTGCCTGGTGGATGGTCGGATGCAGGTGAAGCTGTCTGGATTTGGGCTGTGGGAACTCAAGTATGGCCAGACGCACAGGACATATAATGAGAAAACAATGGACCACTCAGGTACCCACTAGCAGATCCCGTGCCTACTCGTTATGGGCACAGTGGTGAAGGAGGTCCTGGCTCCATCTCTGCTTCCTGATGGCACCTGCAGGTTGGCCTTCTGCTGGAGGTGACAGTACATGGCTTTTCTGCTCACCCAAGCAGATGAGAAAAAATAACCCACATAGGTGGTATGAGTCCATGGTGTGATGTCCCAGTTAGGAGACTTGTTCTCATCCTGGCTTAGCTGGGCTCCCTGGAGCAAGTCACTACCATTCCCTTTTGTCCTCTGTGTCCCATCATAGCTTCATCCTATGTTCTCAGTAAGGAGTGCAGGACCTGCCAGGGATGTTAACCACCCCACATCAACTGAATCAGACCTGAGGTTGGGGTCTGGTGATTCTTACATTCTTGAAATCCAGCACACCTTCACACAGGGGCCACGAGCTCAGGACTCCTTGCCCTGGTCCAGCATTAACTGAGCATTACTGACTCTCACCTCTCATGTATCCAGGTCCCTATGGAGCCCATTGTCCTCAGCCTGGACCACCTCTCTCCAGAGCAGCACACTGCCAGCAGCTCTGCCGTGTGCATGTGGGGAAGTTCCTATCACATAGGATAAGTGTCTTACAGAAAAAGACAAGGGACATTTTGAAAACCTGCTAGAAGCCACTTCTATTTTCTTAACCCCCAATATATTTTCTTTTAATGATTATAACCTATAATGACATAAACTTACAAGCCTCATTGCAAAAAAAAAGAGTAGGTATATAAAATATCCAGAACAGATAAATGCATAGAGACAGAATGCAGATTGATGGTTGCCAGGGCTGGGGGGCATGGGTAGTGACTGCTTAAGGGGTATGGAGTTTTTACTTTGGGTGATGGAAATGTCTGGGGACTAGATAGAGGTGGGGGCTGCACAACACTGCAGATGTACTTACTACATGCCACTAAGTCGTTCACTTTAAAATGGTTTCTTTTATGTTCTATGTATCGTCCCTCAATAAGTTATTCTTTTTTTAAATATGGGCAATGCAGGAAAGAAAAAGGAAAAGGAAAACCACCTGCAGTTGCCCAGTCACGAGTTCACCATAGTTAGAGCACATGCTTCCCAACCATTTTCTGTGTACTGACACCTAGGCCTCTTCTGCGAGCTCTTTAAGCCAGGCACCGCCAGGGCTGACTGCCTGGGGCTGGATGCCTTCGTTCCTCTGAGAAAGAAGTGAAGCAGTGGTGTCTCTGGGTCTGCCCGGCTGCTCTCACCTATGCTGACATCCGTTGCTTTGCAGAGCTCTATTGGACGGCCCCAGAGCTGTTGAGGCTCCCAGAGGTGCCCTGGGCAGGCACCCCAAAGGGAGACGTGTACAGCTTTGCCATCCTGATGAGGGAGCTTATCCACCACCAGGACCACGGGCCTTTTGACGACTACGACGAGGCACCACGTGGTAAAGCTGGGAGAGTCTCCTTGGCAGGAGTTGGTTATCTGGGCTAGATTTTAAACGCTTGTTTTCATGAATTATTTTATTAAATGTTTATTAATTTATGATTCATTCCATTTTTTTCTTTTAAAATTCATGTTCTTTTTTAAATTAAAAAATGAACTGCAGTTTGCTTGTTTAAAAAATGAAGAACTTGGAATTACGTACGTTATTCTATTATAGCAGCCAGGGTGATCCTGTTAGAAAATGAGTCATATCATGTCACTTCTCTCCACAACTGCCTCCCTTGGCTTCCTGCTTGGGGGATGAAAGCAGAGTCCTGGCAGTGGCCTACAAGGCCACCAGAGGCCTCTAAACATGCCTCTGTGACCTTCTCTGTTAGTGCCCGAGGGCCCCCCTAACAAATCACTACAAACCTGTTGGCTTTGAACAACAGAAATTTATTCTTTCGCAGTTCTAGAGACTCAAAGTCCAAACTCAAGGTTCAGCAGGGCTGTGCTGCCTCTAGAAGCTTCAGGAAGCATCCATTCTTTGTCTCTTCCAGCTCTTGGTAGCTGCCCCCACCCACCTTCACGGGTTTCAGCCACATTGCTCCCATCTCTGCCGCTTCCGTGACGCTGCCTCTTCCGCTGTACCTCTCTCCTCTGTCTCTTGTAAGGACCCTGCATTGGATTAGGACCCACTTGGATAATCCAAAATGATCTCCTCAACCCAAGATATTTAATTATATCTACAAAGGCTCTTTTTGTCAAATAAGGTCACATCCACAGGTTCTGGGAGTTAGGACATGGACATATCTCTTTGGGGACCACCAGTCAGCCTACTGCACCTCCCTAATTCCTTCTCCTGTGGTTTGCTCCTTTCGGTCACCCTGGCCACTTTCATGTGTCTCCAACATGCCAGTCACATTCCTACCCCAGAGCCTTTGCACTTGCTGTTCCCTCTGCCTGGGCATCTCTCACCTAATATCTCAATATATACAAATTTATCTCATTCCTTCTTAAGGACTACAAAGTTTTTCATTGTAAGGATGTGCCATATATTATTGATCAATGCATATTTTAGTTGTTTTCCATTTTTGCTATTATAAATCGGGGCAGGAAGCAGCCTTCTATCTTTGTGGACATGTAATTGAGAATATATATATTTAAAATGTATTTAATTTTTTTTTTTGATGAATGCTGTTGTCCACTTATAAAGGATATATTCAGACTCGTTTTTTGGTGGGTTGTCTCTTCACACAGCCCATCAGGGAATTAAAGGTAAAAGTAGTAGGAGATAAAGCAAAATGCAATCAAGATTGATTGAAAAATGCATACTAGGCATAACCTCCTGGAACTATTATATTCCACCTTGGCTGCACATTAGATGCCTGGGGTACTTTAAAGACTGCTAATGCCTGCATCTCAGGATATTCTGATGTCACTGATCTGGGGCACTGGCATGGCATCAGGGTTTTTAAAGCTCCCAGGTTATTCTCCCAGTGGCCCAGGCTGAGAATCACTGTGCACATATATGTGACTGAGTTTCTAACTAAACCATTCCCACCTTTCTCTCTTGTTTTTTTTTCTTTATCACTTTGACTACCATTTCTAGTCCATCCCCCAAATGGCCAATCTCAAGTCTTATCTTCAGATCATCATTCATTCCCTGGACACTTTTTCAAATCAGGAGCCTTTCTGAATGTATATAGTTACTTTGAAAGCAGGTTCCAGTGTCTAATTTACAGCTAAATGAAATAGAAGTGAGACTAACCCAAAAAGGTTACTCCCAAATCCAGGTGCATCTGACTTTAGAACCAAGTGGCTACCCAGATCTCCCCAGACTGAGCCAAGGCAGGAGCCCACCTCCACTCACTAAACTCAGCTGCCCCTGACTATGCCACCTGGGGTGGGGCAGAGGCCGGGGCAGGAAGACTGGAAATGGGCATATTTCCCCCTCACTGTAGTCCTCTGCTCACAAAGTTAAATGAGAGCTGGCCACATGAGACCAAGTGTACACAGGACTGCAGCCAGGGAAAGCACATTGTGTACCTAGTTTATGGGCAAACATACTTCTCATTAACTTCTCGCACTTCCCTACAAACAAGCCTGGTGCTGGGAACTAAGTAATTATTGATTCTTTGCACACACTAGACCAGAGGTTCTCAAATGATAGCGGGCATCAGAATCATGGGCAAGGCTTGTTAAAACACAGTATCGTAGGTCCTAGCCTCAGAGTTCCTAACTCAGTAGGTCTGGGGTGAGGTCTGTGAATCTGCATTTCTCTCAGGTTTCCAGCTGATGTTGAGAAGCACCGGTCTAGTGTGGTCACCGAGCCAGCAGCATGAGCATTCCGTATATTTAAAGTGAAACGTACCAACTGGCACAAAGTTTACACATTTGGCTAACTAACCCCAAAATGAATTTCAGAAATCATCAGTCAAATCAAAGACCCTACGGCCTTAGTTCCACTTCGACCTTCCTTGTCAGAGGAGAAGGGCAATGAGAAGATTATGGTCATGGTGAGAGCATGTTGGGATGAATCTCCAGAGAAACGGCCCACTTTCCCTTCCATCAAGAAAATGTTACGAGAAGTCAGTCCCAGAGGGTGAGTGAGATGTGCAACACACATTTTCTCCTAATCACTTAACAAGTGGAATATTAAAACTATATGGCTGTGATCGGTTCTGTGTGGCTCACTCTCCCTTCATTCATTCATTCCTCCACTCATTCATTCATTCACTATATACTCATTCGATGCCTACTATAGGCAGAGCATTGTGCTTGCTGCTGGTTCGAGTAGGGTAGTAAATTCTCCCTTTATTTCATGAATGATAAAAAAAAATGGATCACAGAGTAGTACTTCCATTGCCCTCCTTTGTCCATTCCAGATATCCCTAATCAATCAAGGTCATCTTTCCCAGGGAGTTTTGACATGGCCTCAGAATCTTATTCAAACCGGTATTCCACAGGTCAAGACTAATCAGTTGGGATTGGACTATGGGATAAAAAATTATGCACCAACCTTCAAGTAGATTAATGACCTAAATTAATCATGCCTCTCAAACAGTTTTCTTATTTGTGGCTTGCTTCACATCAGGACAATTGCATCATGTTTTGGCACATTGAACATAAGAAGGCACAGCCATGTCAGAAGCAGTTGCAGTTGATAGAAGGAGCCCTGGGTTGGGGGTCAGGTGCCAGCTCCTAATGTGACAAGTCTGCTATGCATTCTAGCACAACAGCCCTGTGTTCTGCATTGCCCACATCAAAATAGTTTTAAATCATATGTCTTAGGTCAGCTATGACTTTTTACTCAGAAAATATGGTCCCCAGTGTTAAGGCAAGTCTATTTCCTATGTGAGCCTCTGTCTCCTCATCTGGATGATGAGGAATTTAAATGATTTTCTCTGAAGACCTTTCTAAAACAAGAGCCTATGGGACCCAGAAGTGTCCCTAACATCTGCCATCTGAAAAGAGAAGAATGACCCTCCCTGAAATCTAAATTTGTGACTGATCACGACAGTGGTCTGGAGTATGTCAGGAAGTTGGGGAGGGCCAGCAAGGCCACCTTTTTGTTGAATGTCTGCTGGGTGCCAGACACAGCCGAGGGTACCCATCATCTCCTTGAACCCTCAGAGAAACCCTGTGAGGTATATGTTACTATGGTCACTTTCCAGATGAAGAAACTGAGGCTCAGAGAAATGAAGGGTGCACATCAAGATCACAGAACTGGTGAAGCGCAGGCTTGTCATTTTGCTGCTGTCCATTGGCAGCCCTTAGGGAGGAAACCTTAAGGGTGAGAAATGTTTCCTTGGAATGTATAGTTAGAACGTGTGTTCCACAGTGGCCCTAAAGTTCTTTGAAAAAGATGTTAATTTCTGTTCTTTTAAAGCCACGTGAACATCCTAGACAGTATGGTGAGCAAGCTGGAAGTATATGCCAATCACCTGGAGGAGGTGGTGGAGGAGAGGACCAGCCAGCTGATGGCAGAGAAGAGGAAGGTGGAGAAGCTTCTGTTCACAATGCTGCCCAGGTATTCCAAAGCCCTGGGGACCGTGGCAAAGGAACCAGGAAGTGATAACAATGTTATCTAAGAGAGCCCCAGGAGAGAATATACTCTTTGTTCTTAAGAGCACTTCAGGTCTTCTAAAACAGGTCACTTTGCGTGTGATTTGGTACATCTTGTAAAGGGAGATGGAGGCAAAGACCCTCGAATCCAGAGGAAGAGAGAACGTATCTTTTTCCACGAAGAGGGTGGGTGCAACAGTAGGGGACAGACCACTAGATGGCACTCTAGTTACATGAGTTAATCACCAACTTCCCAGTATTTCAGATTTAAGTTCAAAGCCTTTGCACAGTACAGTATGTATCCATGACTTCAGATGCAAAATTTGCCTCATTTTTGGTTCTCTTTTCACCTGTGCATCCTCTAAACACTTGGCAGAAGCATCTGCTGTTGAAATTCCTGCACTCGTCCCATGTGTTTTGACAAAGAAGAAGATGAGGATTTGAATGTGTTAATGTGAGACTGGTCGAGACAAAAATACTGACTTGTGGATTGGTGAATGCTTACATTTGCTCCCACATCTGTAGACCGAGTCTTTACAATCCAACTCTATAACCAGTAGGGGAAAATGAAATGCCCTCAGGAAGAACTCCTTTCGTAAAGGCATTTTTGTGCTTAGCTCCTCCTCCCTCCCCCAGTTAAGATATTTAGAGAAAACACAGGCAGAGGAATGAGTGTCAAAAGAGTGCCCTGAGATGATGGATTTTCTACCCCAAACCTAACCCATTGAAGCAATGGGCTTTGCTTGGAGGACAGCGCGATGACTTTGCCAGGGTCTGTAGGAGACAAGTTAAATAAGATTGCTCAAAAACAATCCCATTCTCTGGTTTCAGCTTCATTGGAGAGCAGCTCCTAGCTGGAAGGTCCGTGGAGCCAGAACATTTTGAGTCCGTGACCATCTTTTTCTCCGACATCGTTGGATTCACAAAACTGTGTTCTCTCAGCTCCCCCTTGCAGGTTGTAAAGCTCCTTAACGACCTGTACAGTTTATTCGACCACATCATTCAAACTTACGATGTGTATAAGGTGAGAGGCCTGGCTCCCGGGTTGAGGGACCGTGTGCGCCCTGCTGGTGGGGCGTCATGAGGGTGAGCCCAGCCCAAGGCGCCAGCTGGGAGGAAGGCTGCATTTCAGGCTGGCAGTCAACTCATGGCAGAAACTCTGCGTTTTACTCCTGGTTGCTTTCCTGGCAAAGGGCTTGATCAATCATAGGTGCATGTGCTTGTTGAGAATCATCCGTGTTCCCTGTTCCCTTCCATCATCTTATCTCACGGTAAACACATTTCTAAAAGAGGCATTGACCCTTCTACCGGCTGCTCCTGCCAGTCCTCTCCTGACTGCATTTCCTTCAGATCAGAGAGGCTCTCAGTCTCCTTCCGAGGCTGTCTCTGGGTCTTGGGTGAGTCTCACTTCTGTGGCCGTGATCTCTAGCAATTCAGGTGAAGATAGACTCCCCAGTTTAGACTATCAGACAACTACCTGCCTAGTACTAGTCTGGGGTTGTATGAATACGGTCACCTAAAGTGAAATATAGTTTTGGATGGAGGATAGAAGAACCAGTCATTTGGCTCCATTCAGGTGGTGGTGATGGCAGTTCTTGGTGTTTTGAGACTTCCAGTGGGACCAGATCATGACTCCAGGGCCCGTGTTCGCACAGGCCAGGTGAGCAGCCACAAGGGCACCAGCTCTGGCTGTGATCGCAGGGCTCCTTCCATAGCCCCGAGGGACAGTGAGATCATGTCCCTTGGTGACATGTTCTCAGTGGTCATCCCCCAGCATTGCCCACAGATGTTTCCTCTGTTGAAGAGTGAAAGGATGGTATGGATAATCTCAGAGAGCAGATCACGCACACCCAACAAAAACAGCCCGCACTGTCTAGGAGGGCAGCCTCTGGGATTTCCTCTTTATGTTACCTTCTCAGTTACGTTTTGCGTGAGCTAATACTAAAATAAGTTTGCATTTCTAAAGGATGTGCTCATGGTGGGGAGAGGTAGCCTAGAGGCAGTTAGATTTGTGTACTAGTGGACTTTGTGTAATTTTGGGGTCCCCAGGAGACAGGTTACTATCTGGCTAATGCCTGCAATTCCACTTTTACCATATCATTTTTGGATTCTGCTAAAATGCAAATGCATTGGAAAAGGCTGTAACTTTAAGCTTACACTTGTCATTTATTCTCCATTGTGAATGAGAGAAATGCAAGCTGATTTCTTAGGAGGATTGGGAGAGAAGAGGACAGATCAGGCAGATACAGTTACATGTATGTATAAAGCATATGTTTTGTGTAATGTGTTCATATGTGTAAGTGTATATACAAGCCCTTGTGTTGGGTGAAGGCATTTCAGGTTGGAAGATGAATCCCACTTGATGGATCCATGTGACCCTTCAAGATTTACTGCATCAGTACACTGCTGCCTGTTTAACTGGTTTTGAACCTGTGTTAAGGAAATATGGTCCTCAACTACCACTATCAGATTTCAGAGGAGGAAGCAGTGACTGTGGGGAAGAGGGCTCAGGGAAGAAGGACTCTGTGGAAGAACCAGGCCAAGAGCAGAAACCTGAGGGAATGCTAGGTCTTGGATGGAGTAGGGGTCAGGGAGTGAGACTCTTAGAAGTATGGGGCCTCAAAGCAGGGATCAGTAACAAGAGGCCATGGTCTCTGACCCCACCCCCACCCCAGCCTCCCTCACAGAGAATACATGTCCATTTTGTTGTGCTGTCTTAAGGTTGAGACCATTGGAGATGCATATATGGTAGCCAGCGGACTTCCTATCCGCAATGGAGCCCAGCATGTGGAGGAGATTGCCATGATGTCCTTGCACTTCCTCAATGCCACCATCCACTTCCAGATTGGGCACATGCCTGAGGAGAAGCTTAGGCTCCGGATCGGCCTCCACACAGGTGAGCGGCACTGATGGCAGGTGGCCTTGTGGCCTGTGTATGGTGGCAGATAGTTCTGGACTCAAGTCCTAGGTCTGAGGCCTTTAGAACCTTGAAACTGGGTGGTAACATCTTCGGGGGAGATCAAAGATTGGGTAGTCTTTGCATGTGTATTTCCTGGTAGCCAGTTTGCCTGGTAATAACAAGGCGCACAAAGACTTCAACGTGCAGAACCAAAAATAATGAGGAGAACAAAGCCATGACGGTTATATCGGGCTGCTTTGACTCTGTGCCTCTGCATCAAAGGCACTTTGTTCTGTTTTTGTCAAACTCATGGACGTGTTACCTCTGCAGAAGGGACCAGCATGGTTTAATGCTCTTCTGTCACCATCTTGAACTTATTAAACATTTTTGAATGAAGGGTCCCTTATTTTCATTTTAAATTGGGCCCTGCATATTATGATGGTGGACCTGTTCCTACCTATCCTCTGATGTTTTACTAAAATAAAACCTGACCCCTAATCAAATTAATTACTCCCATGTTTGTGCTACGATTGCTGTGATTGCATCTCTAGCAAGTGAAAAACATTGTCATTAATTTCTGTCTTACCTCGGTTGTTTTGACAAAATACTATGCACTTGGGTGGCCTAAACAGCAGACATCTATTTTCTCACAGCTCTGGAGGCTGGAATCCAAGATGAGGCTTCCAGCTAGAGAGAGCTCTCTTTCTGTCTGGCAGAAGGCCACCTTCTGGCCATGCCCTTGCATGGCAGAAAAAGAGAAAGAGGTGTGATGTCTCCTCCTCTTCTTAGAAGGGTACTAATATCCTCATGAGGCCCCTACCCTCTTGACTTCATCTAAACCTAATTACCTCCCTGAAGTCCCACCTCCTGATACCATCACATCAAGAGTTAGGACTTCAGCATATGAATCAGGGAGGTCAGGCACAAGCATTCGGTCCATAACAATTGATTACTATGTTGTTTTCTACCAGAAGTCTGTGGGTTCTGTAAGTTGCCTTCTATAAACCTTAAGATCTATTGCTAAGCTTTGCCTTATGAGGGCACTTAACAAGTAATTGTCGAAATGCATTTGTTGATGGCATGCGCCTTGTGGAGCCCAGCCCTGGAGACAGGCAGATTGGTTACACCCTTCTGTTCTCCCCCTTGCAGGTCCTGTGGTGGCTGGCGTAGTGGGAATCACCATGCCCAGATATTGTCTGTTTGGAGACACTGTGAACGTGGCATCCAGAATGGAGAGCAGCAGTTTGCGTGGGTATCATTTACAGCACTTTGCAAACATGATACTGCTGTTCCTCCTGTCCCCTGTCTTTGACCAGAGGGTATTTTTAGAAGACCCATTTGCATTGTGTCTACTGTTTCCCACTTGGAGAGTAAGATCATCATTCACTTCAGACAACACCCATCACAGGCTTTGCAGGCTGGGTTTTGCACTGTGCTCTCCACGGAGCCATGTGAACGCACATGACTGCCTCATTCCAGGACTTCCCGTTCCAAACAGTCAAGTACACATATAATAAAATCACTGAAACGAAGAGCAGCAGTTGGCAAACTTTTTTGATACAGAGCCAGACAGTAAACATTTTAGGCTTTATGGGCTGTAGTCTGTGTTGCAACTACTAAACTGTTGTAGTGTGAAAAGCAGCCATTTACAACATGTAAAAGATTGGGTGGGGCCATGTTCCAGTCACAATTTATTTGCAAACACAGGTTGTAGGCTGGATTTGGTCTAATGGAAGGTCATTGCCCCATCCCTTTACATAAAGTATAGTGTCAGTAATGCAGAAGAAATCTGTGGCCAAGGACCCCAAGGGGATTCATGTGTTTTTGCTTTACAGTAATTTTATTGCATTGATTATTGCCAGACATACATATGCCATTTATCAGTGCAGACATTTATCAGCTGAAAAAAATAATTACTCAGTTACCTGAGTTTTGAAAAGTTTAGGTTAACATTCTTTTGAATTTGTACTTTTTCCATGATATATAAACACACAAAAAATTTTTGCCCCTCCAAATACTTTGTTGTCCCACTTAATCAATCAAGTCTCAAACACAGCTTGAAACCTCCCTTTTGGCTTGTAAGTAAAGATTTTAAGGATAACTTTTGAAAATGGAATTGCTGATATAGCTGCGAACCTGCCTCTAGTTGCAGTTCGGATTACAAGCATTTTCAGTGATATGTACCAGCTCCGGTGCCATGCCAGGAAGGCTGAGGTGCCCAGTGACCTCCATGTGGAGGTCATTTCTACACTGAATAGGTTAAAGCTTGAGCACCACCCAACAGTGTCTGAGCAATGCCTGGATGGTTGGGGTTCCCCACCCAAGCATCCCAGACTTCAGAGATGTTGTCTGGGATTTGCTTAATGAGAGGTGCAGGCAGGCCACGAATGTGAGCAGTGCAGCGTTCTCTCTCCACAGTAGCCCCTGCCCCACTGACACCCATCAGAAAGTCACAACCGGGCAATAACTTGGTAATAACTGGTTTGTGGCAGCTCTCCGGATTCATGTCTCTGAGAGCACTGCAGCCACCCTGCTGACATTGGGAGGATACGATTTGCAAAAGAGAGGCACCATTCCAGTCAAGGTAAGACCAGGACACCTGCCCCTACCTGCCCCATCTGGGTCTCTGGTGGAGATGTGGGATGCGTGAACCTCTGCCCTGTGGTTCTGGGAGACTGCGAAGGTCCCTGGGGAGGCTCTCATGTCTGCCAGGTCTTCTTCCTTCAGAGAGGACCATGCAGTCTCCCCAAATGGTCACACGTGGACTCTGTGACAGAAAACACCTTCTGTGGCTGTCTCCGCTCTCTTTGCCGCCAGTGGTCTCCTGGCTTCTGCCTGACCACGCCAGTCCAGTCTCCCAGAAAGCAACGGCAAATACAAGCCCAGGAATTACAGTGCCCACGTTTCCTCTGCGTCCCCTCTCCCAAGTCTAAAGTGCCTAGAGAGAGGGAACAGAGCCCGTTGGTTTGGGGGTACTAGGACCTCATCTCTATAGATTTAAGTGTCTTTTCCCTTTTCCTCTGCCTTCTCCTCCATCCTGGCCTACAGTCTGTCACTTAAACATGCCATGATACAGTCTCATCTTTCTGATAAACAAACACAAGCCTTTGGGGTGGAGGTTGCTCCTCTTGAGATGTTCTCAAGAATGTCTCAGAGATGTTTATGGTGGGAATGGGGAGTGGTTGCTATGATGTTAGGTGTTTGGGTGGATGTGGGGGTCCAGGGAAAGAAGTGAAACGGAAGGGGATGGCATCAACCCTCCAGTTGGCTGAGCCTGGCCCTGGCATGCTGTATTTGGTCAGAGGACTTCAGGTGACAGGAAGATTTTTCTAGAATACAGCAGTAGAGATCAAGCTTTGAATCACCTCCCAGTATTGCTGTCTGATTTGAGGGCTTTATCATCTCAGTTTGATCATGTAAAATGGGAATGGTGATAATACTGCCCTCAAAGGTGGCTGTGAGGATTAAAGGTGAGCATATATGTGAGATGCTTCACCTAGTGCCCTACTCATAGTGAGAGTTCAATAGGTTTTATTATTATTTAAAATACTTTCTTGGAAACAAATTTCGCCTCCAATGGCTCTCACTCCCTAGGCCATCACTGACTGTCCATTTGGCTTATTAACCGATCTCACGAAAATCACTGACTTTTCTATAATGAGGTCTTTCCATCACTGAGGCAGCTCCTGTCTATTGCAGTTCTGGCTGCAAACAACATTTTCAGTCACAAGCAAGGGAGCCCCAAAGTGTCTGCGGTGAGGCCGTACCTCGCAAGCAGCCTCTCCTCTGACTCACCCGTGCTCCGCTTTGCCTCCCACAGGGCAAGGGAGAGCTAACAACTTTCTGGTTGAAAGGCAAAGAAGGCTTCCCTATTCCGCTCCCCAACTTTACTGAGGAAGAACTTAAAGTCCCAGAGATCTTATAAGGTGAGTATTTACCTTACAGATGTTTGTGGGGTCCTATGAAAGCCTGTGGGGACCTTTCTGTGGGATGCATTAAATATCCCATTGAGGGCCGTATAGTTCTGGGCATTTAGTCGGTTTCCCAGCAGGGGGAGCCATCGAGCTGGCCTTGTCCCACATGGACGTCTGTGGCCTGGAGCAAATGTGGAGTTGCGTGAACTGCATATGCGTATAGTATCCTCGTTTCCTGGGGGTCCAGATCTGGACTGATGCTCCCAGACCCGCTAGTGAGCCTGCCCACGCTGCCAGATATTTCCAGCCCATTAGCTTGCAAATTTGCAGAGAACTCAGTTCATTCTGGAAGGGAAAGCTGAAGAATGAAGCCCAGGCCCACAAGCCCTGTCTTGCCCTGCCTCCCTTTGCAAGGTGGCTGCTCTCTAAACCTTAGGGCTTATTTTCTTTATCAGTTAATCAGCCTGCAAGGAAACAGGAGCCCATACCAGGAGGTTATCTCGGGAATGTTTCAGGGGATAAGTCTCTATCTAAGGTGTGAGCAACCCCTGAAATCCGGCAGGACCAGGCCCTTCCAAGCAGATAGGATCCCTGCAGTCCCTGGCTGGAAGGCCTGGTCCTGAGCTCTAACTTGCTGTGAGTGCTGTATCTTCCAAATGGATAAAATCCCTCTCTCAATTTATCACTTAATTTCTTTCCCACCCACTGAGCAAAGGATGCAATTGAGGCTTGAATTTTAAGTAGAATTTGTCAATGATCTATGAAATACCTAATTGTTTTTTAATATCCAGCAGACAAAGGTGAACCCATCCATTCTGTTATGAGTATTTCCCTTTTATACAAATAGGATTCCGTGTTGTTTTATTCAGTGGTTTTTGTAATAGATTTACTGAACCACTAATGCATTTACATTATTTCTTTTTTATCCCTGCAACTCCTCACATCACATGTTTTGAGTGACTGCTTCTGACTACAGCAGAGCAATTGGAATAATATATCATATTTGAGACATTTTCCTGTTGAATGAGATGGGGAATGCTTTCTTTTTTTGCTTTATCTCTGAGCTGATTTTGTAGATATATTTTTTAGCTCATTGTAGGGAAATAAACTACCTTTTGGTGGGTTGAGAGCCTTTAATAACAAGTTTTTAAATGGTTTGCTAGAATTCTTGCCTTTATTTTGCAGTAGGGATGCTAAATATGAATTAGGGGAAGTGCTTTTACAAGTAGTCCCATCTCTGCTGAGCTCCTAAGCATTTTTGTCCACAAGACTGTCCTTCTATCCAGAGATGGGCAACTGAACTCTCAGACCTTCACAGACTGTTTGCTATTACGAGATTCCAGTTTCGCTGTGGTAGACTCACTGCTGCTCACAGGCCTTCAGTGCTAAGGATTGAAAGCTGTTGACTGACACTTAGAAAGAACAAAGGAGGCATTTATATGATGAGGATGGGAAGCTTCCCTTGCTACCCCAGCAGGGAGACAAAAGGTCAAATTTTATTTTCTCATGTCTCATAACTTCTCCTCTTATTTGGGATCAGGGCTTCTGGAGGCAGCATCTGCTTTGAGGTCTCTTAGAGAGATGGGCCAGTTTCCATCGATCCAACCATATGAATATTTCATTAATTCAAGGAGCATTTATAGAGCACTTACTCAGTTCCAGGCACCCCCCACTGAGGAACACAAGAGAATATGAAATTTCCTTCATCATCCAGTTTAGTTGGAGAAAGGAGGCAATCTGTTAATAGAGTCATGTACAAAAGTAGAGAAGTACCGAAGCAATGAGATACTGTTAAATTTAAGGAGCATTAGAAAATAATGCACATACGTATGGATGGGGTGGGACATAGCAATTGCATATTACTATCCCATCTCTGTATGGAATGTGTGTGTGTTCCTTCCCTTCCAGTCCTAGCCCATGTGCTTAAACAAGTTATATTCATATAGTAAAGACTTAGTTACTTCTGCCTTTGTCAATGAACCTTATAACATAAAATTTGGCATCATTATCACATACACAGAAAACAAATACACGTGTGCATACACAGACATTCACATGCACATATGTGCACATATATACATACACATGCACACACATATACTTATATTCATGCATATACACACATACATGAATCTATATAACAAAGATCAATAGATAAGAGATTTGTGTGTATATTATATACTCAGCACATATGTGTGTATATATGCATGTTTACATAGATAGGTGGATTCTTTTTTATTCTACTCAAGTTCTGAGAGAGAGTCCAGGGGTAGAAAGAGGAAGACTCTTTAGGGGATCATAAGCAGGAATTTTGATAAGAGCAATTCCCTAAAATCTATATCCAGGGTTTTTTTTTTTCTCTTGTCAACCAGGGATAGCTAAAGGAGAGTGTTCTTTCCTCATTCTCTAAATGTCCACCTATGTTTGGCACTATGGGAAATTACAAGAGAGATTGTTTTGAAAGTGCTTTCTCTTAACTCCTTAATAGAGAAGTGAGGAGACATGAAGGGCAACCAACATCATAGGGCTGTTAGTTAACTTTAGGTTGAAACACACCCAATTGCTGAGGGAGACATTAAGGCTTTAGGGACAGGATGGCTCAGAAGACTTTTCCCACAAATGTGAATCTTACAAAAATGTCCACCTTCTTGCATCAGAAACACAATGCTGGTATTTTTGAAATGTAAATGTAGGATAGAATGATGGAGAGTCTGTGGTAAATATGTGAGTCTAAGAAGTTCTTGTTGTAAAAAAACCCCTGTAAGGGTTGAGGACTGGCTATCAACATGACATATGAACACTGTAAGCTATCAATGTAGGTTATTCATCTTAAGACATTTTATTTATTCCATAGCACCAGGTAAACATACAGATCATTAAACATTATGATAAAATAAAGCAAAACTAACACAACATTGTTTTACTATGACAGCCAAGGATTTATGATTATGGCTACGAGTATGCTACTTAAGAGTTTTTTACTAGAACAAATAAAATACATCTTCTCTCCTTCCTGACTATAAAAATCCTGAATTTATAAGAAGAAGAGATCCCAAACTGATTGGAGCACAAGCTTTGAGACCAGTTTAGACCACACTGAATCATTTTAACCTGGCCTTTTGCTAAGCAAATATGCACTTCATGTCCCCAGAGATTGGAAAACTAGCTTCTGAGTTCATTAACAGACTTGTAAAAGAACCATCAAACTATAGAACTCCAAACTTCTCAATTACATTAAATACAGAGATACAAACTGACATGTTTTCAATTATACACTCACTAAGTCTGTACAAGACTAAAAAAAGAACTTAGAACTCTGGCTTTTCCTATTATACCCCAGCTTCCAGCCTCAAACTGGGGTCCACAGCACATCCTCAGGGATCTGCCAATTCTGTCAGGATTGGTTCATTCATTTTTATTTTGTTGACAACATAAATCATTAATATCAACATATTCTGGATCACTGGAGTGGGGCCATGTGTTATCAGGGTGTGTTCCCATGTGACTTTGTTGCCCATATTTGTGTTTGTGTTTGTAGGGTCCATCTAATGATTATAAGTTAACAAGACAAAAAGTAGATATGGGCTTGAATGTTGAAGTAAAGGCCAAGTGAGATCAAACCATTTTGCAGAAATGAAGCTTTCTTAATAGGTCAAATCTGAAAAAGAATAGTGAGAGCCCTGCCCATCACAAGAGTACATAGGCCTCGGTTTGACAAGCTTCAGAGAACCTGTCATGGCAGTCATGCCACAGGCATGTTGCAAGCAGTGATTTTATTTAGGCAACGTCACATTATGATGATAATTCATGTTAATGTGAGTTTTATTCTTTTTGTAGTTTCATTCCTATTTATAATTTTCTTTTGAGTTTAGAAAAATGTATCAGCTATTAAAAATGACTATGTATTTAAGAAACTGTAATAAAAACAAACTAGGTTAGCACTGGGGGGTTCTCAAGAATTGTTTTCCTTTTATGACTCAGGTTGGAGCAAAACTACTGTATTTCAGTCTGATTTCCATATCATCCTTTGAAAGTTTGGAACCCCACCCCACCCCTGCCTGGCGGCTCAGTCCTGGTCCTTGGGTAAGAATAAGAATTGCACGGTATCAGTGACAAAGGCCCCCTTTGACAGCGCTGCTATCCTGTGCACTCTGTACTTAGCACCGACTTTGTGGTTATGCTCTACATCCTCCTCAAAGTGTTCAGCTGCTCTTGGTTGGATCTGCTAGTTTTAAAATTAGACTAGCTTTCAAAGGAATCTGCCACTCCCTGACTTGAGTATAGGGGAAGGAGGCTCCTCCTCCAGCTGCAAGAGAGGCTGGCAGGATCTAAGAGCCACAGGAAGCCACAAGAGGAAGTGGAGCACCAAAGAAAATCAGTCACTGAAATTCATGAATCACTGGAACACATATTTGGCAAAATGCAATTCTCTCCTCCCTAACAGTATGGTCTTCTGTTTGTTCTTTTTGGCATCACAATAAATGTGAGCTTTTCATCGGTGGAGATGGTTTGGGGAGGAGCTGCAGCTGCCTGCCTGCTGACTCCTGTAGCGCAGCACAGACCCCCAGCATCACGAGCAGGGCACAGAGGGCATCTGTGAACCAGACAGGAAAGGAGACAGAAACAGTTCTGCAAGGGTCAGGGACAACTCAACAGAGCTGACTCAGTAAGTGTTAGGCAGGTTTTCATAAAACCTCTGCACATTTTACATAGAGGCAGTTTTATTCATCCTTTGGGGCTTCTATAGCTCACTTTCATCAGTGTAAAGGACCTAACAGAAAAACCTAGGTTATGACCTTACCTAGATTTCGATAAGACAGTGATGGCACATTTCACAGAGGGCTTGCCCCATGGAACTTTCTTTAGAAATGATAATCTAGGATTGGAGTCTTAAAATACTGGTTTATGTGATTTTCTGTAATTGTGAGAATAGACTCTCATCTGTGAGACTGTTAATAAATAGTACTGTCTTACCCCATCTCTGCACATAGTTGCCCCTCTCATCATTCAGGTGAGGGCTTGGGTCTTAGCTGAAATGTTTCTCCGTCTGAGAGGCTTCCCTGGCTGCTCTCAAAATCATTTCTCTCCCCCACCACTTGCCCCAACATATCACACAGACCGGGAAGGACAGGGCCTTCCTTACCTGCTATCAAACCACAGTAGCTACATTGCCTAGAATGGTGCCTAGAACAGTCAGCAATCATGGCTGATCTTTACTGGATGTTTGCTGTGTGCTGGACATTGTTTGGTGCCTTTAGCTATAATATTTAATCCACAAAACAGCCATGTGTGAAAGGAGTAATTAGTAGGTTGATTTTTTGTGGAGACTGGGGTATAGAAGGATGAGGTCATTGCCCAAGGCCACTCAGTTAATGAGTGGCAGAATTATAGCGGGGACCCAGAAATAGTTATTGACAGGAGCCCAAGCAGAGCCGCCTGGTGATGTCTTTGCTGAGAAGCAGGCTCCAGTTCTGCTTCACCTAATTTTCCCCAGCCCCTCCCTCGCTTCAGAGTTCAGGGGCTGGTTGGAGAGATCTTTTTCTACTTCTATCCCCCACTGCCCCACTCAGAAGTGCTTTAAAGAGTAACTTTTAATTCACATAGCCTTTGCTGGGGCCAAAAGTAAGTTCCTTTTGAAACACACATCTGCCTTACAGAGGCATTGCCCCATGACATTTCCCAGCATTCCCTCTTTTCCTTACCTGAGAAGCTATAGAAACTCGAGAATCCCCTGCCTGTAGTGAGTAAAGAAAGAGAATAACAAAGGTTTAAAAAAAAGACCATGGAGGAGAAGGAGAAATCTTAGAAGTATGTTTTTAAAATACAAATCTGACGGCATCCCCCCACCCCCATTAAACCAACAGGCCCCCATTGTCTTGAAGGCAAAGCTTCTAGTGGGATTTACCCAGGCTTCCTCTTACACCATTGTCTCCTCGACTCTCGAAGGCAGAGTTTGGTTAACTTTCTGGAAAAGGCCGGACAGGAGACCTTTCTGGCTATGGGTCATATGGTCTCTATCCCCAACGACTTGATGCTGCCACAGCGTGAAAGCAGCTGGAATCAGTATCTAGATGCACCAGTGTGGCTGTGTTCCACCAAAACATTATAGACATTAACATTTGATTTGATATGATTTTTTATGTCATGAGATATCATTCTTTTGATTTTTTTTCAACCACGTAGAAAGGTAAAAGTTGTTGTTAGCTTACAGGACATACAAAATCAGGTGGCAGCCTGGATTTGGCCCCGGTCATAGTTTGGTAACCATCTTTAAGTTTAGCTTCTTAAGGGCACAGCCTTCCCACAACAAGCCTTGCTCTCCCTTCATGTCACACCACTCTTCAGGTCATACTTAAAGATAACCGACAGAGGTCTTCCCTAAGCCCTGCAAAGAGTTGAATCCCGCTGCCTCCCCCACCCCCATTAACAGTAGTCTCGTAAGCATTTCGGCTCTCCTTGCTAGATGGTAAATTCTTGAGGACAGGCCCCTGTGTGGGTCTCCTATATTTCTGAAACCCCGGTGCCCAGCCCAGGTCAGGCCCAGCACTGGCTACTCAATAGAATCTTGTCGACTTGCACTGGGTGTTCCCGCTATGTTTCCTTTTCTATTATATTGTTGACTGTATTCTGTCTGGAAGCCCAGCACTTCCAAATTGCTTGTGGGCTTTGAAATTTAGGCCACAGATGGAGCTTTTCAGGGTAGTTAACAAACCTCCACTCCTTGGTGTGGCCAGAGCTACCCCGCTCCCCACCCCCAGCTGGGAAGACTCAAGTTGCAGGCAAAGGTTGTGTCTACAGGCACAGCCGGTTTGGCAAGTCAGTTAAAATGCTCAAACCGGCTGTGCCTGTGGACGCAGCCCGGAGTGGGTGCAACCATTTGGAAAACAGAGAGGCTTACTCCGCAGGGAGAGCTCCACCACCAGGACGCCCCCGGTCTGGTCCCGCAGGAGGCGTTTCCTCTTGTCGCAAGCCTGAGGACCCAGGAAAAGCAGAGGGAGAAAGAGGAAGGGGGGATGAAAAGTGAACAGAGGAGAGTCAAGGGAGAAAGACAAGAGATTTAAAAAAGTCACAAGCTTAATATAGTCAAAATTCCCCAGCCAACAGATATCGGTTACCTTATTACCTTTAACAACTCAGAGAGGTATCTCATCTCCTCTCTCACTTGAGAAAAGAAAGAGAACTTACTTTATGACCTCTACAAGCTGGAAGAGGTCACTGGGTGTGGAAGGGATTGACACAATTTCATTAGATAAGTAAGGCTTTCCCTACAGTTTCACCATGACTGCAGATATGGACACTTGCAAAATGTGCTCTGGTTCATTGTCTTTTCTTTTTTAAACGTAGTGCCAATTATTATCCTTTCATCAGGTGTTAAATGTCTCTGCTCCCTTCTCTTTCTCTATTCATGCTCATAAGCAACCACCTTCTGGCCAAAGGAACCAATAGAAATAGAGAGTCTACTCTTATTTCTGCTGTGAACCATATTTTGGAATCACTGTTCTAAGGACAAGGTTCATACCAGGTTGCAGTGGAAACCTGTCTTCCACCTGAATTCACTGCACATGTTGTTTTGATCCTGCTGCAACTTCTTTGTGGGAAATGCTTGGAGCAAAACTGACCCCCGGCCTGGGCTACACTAAACATGCCTGTGAAGCCACAGTCCCCTGCTGGTCTCTTTCTCCCATGTGGTCAGATCAACTGTGACCCAGTGTGTGGAATTTCCACAGCATCTCTCTGGTCCAGCTCAAGTCCCAGAGATGAGCCCTCAGGCCGGCCAGTCAACAGTTAAAAATACCCACCTTTTGCTTCCATCCAGAGCCTATTGCTACCACTAGATTTTGAATTTTCCTTGTGCTTTTAACTTTTCAAAGTATTTCCATGTCTGTGATCACTTCCTTTACCTGGCACTGATCTCTGCAAAGAGAAGGGCAGCATTACTTTTCACCACTCTGCCCTTAAAGGTGAGAAAACCAGGCTCCAGAGGTTAAGTGACATGTGTCAGACTATGTAGCCTGTTGGTGGCAGGGTAGACAGGACCTGGATTGTCTCCCCCCACATCCAGTGGCCTTTCCTCCAGAATGTCCTCAGCACACATCTAAACTGTTCTGGTTATGATTTCCCAGCTGAATACATAGCTTGTCAAATACTACCCCATATCCCTTGGGTAACATTTTTGTTCTGGGGAGAGGTGGCTCACCACTGGGCAGGAGAGCTTCTCACTGTCACAGATGAACGTCTCACAGTGTAACCAAACCTTGGAGAGTTTGGGGATGTTCTGGAACCGGAAAGCATTGAATTGGAAAGTTGCTCTGTGATCTTTCCCGTTCTCATGCACAAGGACTGTCTCATCTGTGGGACAGCTGAAGCATATGGGGGCAGGGTATAGAGAGAAAATGTTACCTCCTGAACTCCCACAAGGAGGCAAATCCATAGAAAACAACAGCACTCCCCTTGGCTTTTTGCACAGCATGTTATCCTTCCAAAATGTTTTGATTGGCAGCACCTCACTTAGCCTCACGTCTGTGAGGTCTAGTTGAGCAATGAGATAGGTGTGACAGTCCGTATTCTACAGACAGGTTATAGCTTTGGGGTGGGGGTAGGGTTGCCTTATGAGAAGCCACATGCCTAGGAAGTCACCACTTCTGTCCCAAAGTGGAATCCCCAAGAGATGAAGCTCTCTGAAGGTCTGGGATATGTACAGACTCCCAGTACATATACAAAATAAAGACGATGGTTCTGGGAACAGCATTTTGCAAAGTAATGCCCCAGCCACCTAAGCCCGAGTCACCAAACACTTTTCTCTGTGTGTATTGTGAGCTTTTGCCCCTGGGAATTTGAATCTATGTTGTACTATTTAAGTTCTGTATTAATGTCATATAGTTACCTTTGTAAAAATGTGGTTATATTTTTAATATTAAAAACAGAAAAAATGACTGGCAGGTTACCATCTAAGTATTCACATTGACTATTGTGGAGTGCTAGAGTTATGGACAGTTTTTGTTTTCTTTTTTGTATCTTTTCATTATTTCCTAAATTCTCTAATGTAGTATTTGGGAAGTTCCAGAGTCCCAAGTGTAATAATTGGCATAAATGATAAAAAACAATGATACCCATGGGCATTTGCTGAAGGCAGTGGGTCCTCACCTGTGAATCTTGTCTCCCAGAGGACATTTGGCATTGTCCTTGTCATGACTGGGCATTGGGGGTGGGGGTGGCATGCTACTGACATCTAGTGAGTAGAGGCCAGGATTTCTGTACAACATTGTACAGAGCACAGGACAGCTCCCAGAACAAAGAATTATCTGGCCCAAAATGTCAGTGGGGTTGAGATAAAAAAATCCAGGTTTAAGCAAAATACTTTTTCATTTACCACATACTGATTCTCTAGTTAAGTGCCAGGCATTCAATCAGATATTGAGAGCAGGCACAATTTTTCTTGGGAATGTACAGTGAGGCCCGCACAAGTATTGGGGCTTGTTGTCTGCAAGTGACAAGGAAGCCCAGTGTCTGTCCTCTGTGGACAAAGGTCTATGGGTCCCAGAGCTTAGGACAGCACCACAGTGAATCCCAAAGTTAACTCCCGGAATGTGTCTCTGACTCTTGCCAATCAGACTCACCAGCCACACCAGACAGAGGTCCAGCTACTCCAGAGAGCCTTCAAGAGGTGCCCTTCCTCACCCCATTCCATCAAAACTGGATGTTAGGGGCCAAAGTAGAGATAGGATGAAGGAAAGCCAGCTCTGAGAGCTAGTTGGGTGAAAAGAGGAGGGAATGCTGTGCCTTGTGTCTGGAGTAGCTGTCAGAGCTGGGCTCCCTTAGGGTGGCCTCTGAGCTCGGGGTGTTTTCCGAGCTGTGAAACAAGACTCTTGGAGGATCAGTTGGTGAACAAACCTGAGATCATTGTACGAACTGAAGACATGAAGCTCTCCTTACAGTAGCTCCTTGAGGCTGGAGTGTCTGAGGCACAGTGTCAGCCAAGGGAAACAATGTAAGCAGAGCTTTGCTGGGGACGTGGAGGAGGCAAGTCATGGGCGGGCCCAGGGCCCTGGCACTGCTGCCTTTCCACCAGGGTTGTGGCCTTCTGATGTGGCGGGTTAGCAGTGCCCCTGCATGTGTAACAGAATCCCTGTGCATGCTAGCGTTTGAGGACCACTTTTGTAGACAACCAGAAAGCCCCAAACATCCTCTTTTCTGCCGTATTACACATCTGCCAGGTGCGAACCGTGGCGCCGGTACTGTCTGCAGGGAGATGATACCATGTATTGGTCGAAACCCTGGCCCTGGGCGGCCATTGTCAGAGAGCTTTCCAGTGCCCGATGGTAATTTCCGGTCCTTGCAGGTCAATAATTTATTTCAGAATCTCCCTGAATTCATTTGATTGCACCATTATCAACAGAACTACCATGAAACATTCAATGTCAGATGTAAAGTATGTGTTAAGTCACGCTCCCATCTCTGCATGAATCTGCTGGGCTGCTTAGATGGGGCTCTGCTGGCCTCTCATACCCACACCACTTAGGCAATAATACTGCCTTAGTCTGAACCTTAGATCGTCTGTCTTTTGCTAGTTCTAGACTTTGGGCATTTCCTAACCTGTCTAAGCCTTGGTTTTCTCATGTTTAAAATAATGGTTGTTATACTACCTACTTTATAGGTAGTTTAATGACATTTAAATTAATTAATATTTGTAAAGCACCTACCTAAAACATGTCTGGTATGTTGTAAGTGCTATAAAAGTGTTTGTTAAATAAAAATAAATAGTTAAAGGTCCAAAGGGGCTTTACCTTTGTTATCTAATCATTTTTGTCCCTGACCCCGATGTTTATGTACCCCTGGTGACTGAGTAAACACGTGTTCATTGGGCTGCTTTGGTTTGGGGAACGGCCTCTTCTGTATTTACTGGTCGTTGTGGGGGTATTGCCCACACCTCCAGTCTAGCTCAATCTCTCCTCTGTTTTCCAAAGTTACAGTTCTAAGTGTTTCTGGGCAATTGTCATCTCCAGCTCAACATGCCTTCCCTGAATTCAAGGAGAATCCCTCATCCAGAAACCTTCTTCCCCAGCGGCCCACAGCAAACAATTCCACACCTCCACAGCCCACAGATTCAGCAGTACAAATCAGGTTTGTCACATAGTCCTCACACTAGTTGCCCCGTCCTGCCTTCCACCCCATATCCACTTGGTTGCTAAATTTTGATCACTTCTCTGTCCTTTGGATGACCTTCCCATGTACCTGGCTACCCCTCAGACCAGGTCTTTATTACCTTTGGCTCAGACGCTGCAGCCTCTGATCTGGTTCTCCTAGTCCCGTGCACTGTTTCTAAACTATTCTACCTATAGCTTCCAGAATCACCTTTCTATTGTGCAATACTTCAGTTCTTTAGTAGAAAATTTTAAGAACTCCCCACTATCTACTTAATTAATAGTAAAAACAATGACATTATTTAAATCAATTGGATATTGACTATGTACTACATGCTAAGCTTTTTACATAGATTATCTAACTTAGTCCTCACCAGGGTTCTGGTGTTAGACTGATTGGACTTGAACCCACTCCACCCCCCACCCCTGCCAACCCCCCCCCACACACACACTGTGTGACATTACTTAACCCTTCCTGTGCCTGTTTCTGCATCTGGAAAATGGGGATGGCAATAATTACCTACCTGTTGTAAGGCAAGTAAGTTAATACATGATAAAGGTCTCAGAACAGTACCTGGTACCTAAAAAGCACTATATAAATATGTAGTTTTATATTTATGTAAAAAATGTTTGTTAGTATCAGTACTCAGCCTGGAAGCACAGAAGATGTCACTGAAGTGACCCCAAGAGGCTTTGCCTCTTCTGCCCAAGTTATCCAACCAGAGTAACCCTGGATCTACCCGGCCCCACCTCTCAGCCCTGTTCTCCAGAGAGTGGTACCTACCCCTTGTTGATCAGCTGCCACTGTAAGGGATACATGAAGTCAGCCGAGGGTGTGGCCCAACAGCTGTTCAAAACCACTTTAAACCTAGGAATGAAACCAAACACATCACTTGGAGCCAGAGAATTTATGCCTAGAAACATCTGGTGATTAGAAAGTCTCTTGGCTGGTCTTTTTTTCCTTTTTTTGTATTTAAAAACATAAACATGGAGGAAATATACTTACCTAATGCTTAACCCTTTGGCTTCTACTCCCGCAAACAGATCTGAACCGATTTCGGATGTCTCCAGGACAAAAGGGGCTTCTTTCTTGGTGGAGAACTTGGCATTCTTTGGAAGGAAATCGAGACTGGACATTATGACCTCTCAGACTGAGCAGTTGGGTCTAATAGGGGATGAAGTGGGATGGATGGGGGTGGAAATCAGCCCAAAGACGCAGGCACGTAAGACCACAGGGAGACCTCCTAGGGCACTGGTGCCATCTTAGAGGGGAGAGAACATTACACGCTGGATTTCCTGGTCACAGTGAGCCTTGATTCTGTGTCTCATCAATGCCAATGTAGAACAAGATTTGGATGATGGAAAAAAAGCAGAATCCAAGAGTGCCGAAGCCCTGTGTTTCACTGTATCACCCAAGGGCAGGGCACCAAACATGCACCACCATGCCTGGCCTTTGTTCACCTCCACTACTATTTTTGCCTGAGCAGATTCCAGCTGAGTTGGAAACTTCATGATCTGATTCCCAGTACAGTTAACTGCAACAACAGTAATGACCACTGGTTGCTCACCAACTGTGTGTCAGGCAGTGCTCTCTCTATTGGGATATCTCTATGTCAGGTATCCTACGTATTGAGATATTCTAGAGAACGAAGCAGAGATCTCTGTTTCCAACCACCTGACATTCTAGTAGGGGAGACAGACAATAGACCACAAGTAAGCAAATTATAGAGTATGTTAGAAAGAATGTAGTAGTTACGTAAAAAAAACTATAAAACATGTAGAGCAGGGTAAACTGGATTGGGGACGTGAGGGACGGTAAGCTGCAGTTTTAAATACAGTAGCTGGGGAAGCCTTATTGAGAATGTGACATTTGAGCCAAGACTTGAGGAAAGTGAGAAAACCTGTGCTTCCGGCTGCAGCACCGATACTAAGAAACACTGATTTAGTGCTCATAGGCTCCAGGGAGGAAGGGCTTAGCCAGAGCAAAGGCACAGGGGTATGTGCGGCTGGCAGAACAGCAAGGAGGCCAATGTGCTGGAGCATGGGTGAGCAAAGAGGGGTTTGTGGGGTCGAGGCAGGAAGTGGGGGGGCAGGAGATGAAGTTAGAGAGCTATGGGGATGGTTCCAGTAGACTGTGTGCAATAGACAGACATTGGCATGATTCAAGCACAGAAGCATCAGCCTTTAGTCACTGGTCTGGCACATGTGGTCTTTGCCTGCCATCTTCATCAGGCACCTCTGGGTGAGCTCTGGGTGAGAATAATAGTAGTGTTTCCAATTGACTTACCCAAAGGAGACTTGTTTCTCCATTCTTTAAGTCTTGCATTCATTTGACTCTAGTATCAACCTTTAGCTGCTCTGAGTTTAGCTTCCAGAGACAAAACATCATGATGGAAGGACAAGTATCCTGGGCTAATTCTAGCTCCCATCACTAACTTCAGACATACTCAAGGCAAGTCAGACTTTTTGGTCTTAGTTTTCCCATCTTCAAAATGGGAATACCCTTTTTCTTCACCTGTCCTGAAGAAATGTTTTTATGATGGTGATTTTATGTAATAGAAGCATAAGGCTTAAACCAGGATACTAGTTAAATGATTGAGTTTCATGGACTTGGAGATTTGCAGAACTGCAATAGGTAAACAGTGGCAGCAAGGATATCTAGTTAAAATGGACTTTAACCCCCTAAGGATCAAATTCAAAGAATTTGCTGAGAGGCTTCAGAAATCATCTTCCAGTGGCTCTTACATTATTTTACTTCATTATTATTACTTCAGGTCCAGCCAGGGGTCCCTGACTGAGTCATCTAGAAGTCAACCATTTTCTTCACATCTGTCAGCCTCCTGCACCATTTAAATGGTTTAATAATTAAATAAGAAGTTCTTAGTCATGAATGATTTACTCCCTTAATATGCAGCTTGACGTGGCAGATTTACAGAGGTTTTTAATGTTCCCTGTTATTTTCTGAGACCTGATATATTTCAAGAGACTGATTCCAAATATGGGACCTAATGTGGGGACCACAACTATAGTCCCCAGCCTCGCCAGAGGAGCTTCTCCCACTCCATCTCCTAGGACCCAGCCAGCAGAGGACTGGAATATTGGAATAATACCTCTGTCACAGAGGAACCTGTCTGATTATGTTACAAAGTGGGGAAAAGAATCCACACTGTTAATTCAATTTTGGAAAAGAGTTTCTCCACTTCTCACCTTACTAAGTTAAGGCAATTATCAGCAATGGTTTCCCCCTGTGTTTTTATAACATGAAAATTAGGGACCTATTTCCAGATAGCTTCCCCCTATAATACCTGGACAGTTTGTTTTGGCATCCCTGTTACTAGAGTCAAATGAATGCAAGACTCACATAAACTACTCATTCATTGTAGTGAAGGAAGAGAACCTTGAAAAATCGTGCCATCCAGTGCCTTCACCTGACCAAAATGCCGAGTCACAGCCAGCTAATGACACAAGTTAGGATGTCCTTCTGGTTTAACAGCAGTTCATTTGGGCAAGATCTGAGGGCCGCTTTTGCTCCCAAGCTCAGTGTGGAACAGAGGTGAGAGGAAACTATCCAAAGCTAATATTATCCTAGAACGTGTTCCTAGCGTCTTGCTGAGCATCGATGGTCACCCCTGACCCGCTGTGCTCTGCATCGGTCTGACAAGGTCTAGAGTATAACATTTCCACTCTGGGCTCTGCTTTTTAATAAAGAAACTGACCAAGTGGATCGTACTCAGAGAAGACAGACTAAGATGCTGAGTGGGTCATGGTTAGCTTGGGAAAGACAAGCTTAGAGAGTTAAGGACCATCAGCTGCAGCGTTACATGGTCTTTCAGAAAACGGAACCAGAACCAAGGGGTCAGAGTTCAGGATGTCAGGTTTCATATACTGACCTAAAATGGGAAGGCCTGACCTGCCATTGTCCTTGGAAGAGGTGAAGAGCCACCCCAAGCAATCTTGCGGAAGGAATTTGGACTTGTGGTAGAAGGTCACAGTTAACTACTCTGCGGCTTGTTCTGACTCTGGAAGTCTATGATCTTGGCCACTGGTGCTTGCATTCGTTCCACCCCAAGCTTTTTCATTTGTCTCTGTCTAAGAGGAATGGTCAGCAGTATTTCAGCTGAATCAAAGTCAGCCTAATCCGACACTGACATTGATGTTCAGCCCTATAAAGGCACCAATGGTGGGGCTAGGAGTTCCCAGTTTCCATTTAAATGGGTTCAAAGGCTACAGTCATGAGAATGGCTACTTTCACAGGCTCTTACCTTATACCAGGTACTGTGGTAAGTGCTTCAGAAGGATTACCATTTAGTGCACGTAATAAACCTATGGGGTAAGTGCTTTTACTATCCCCATTTAACAAATGGAGAGAAGGAGGCCCAGAGAGGTTAACTAACTTGTCCAAGGTCCCACAGCTAGTAAATGGTGGAACCAGACTTCATACAGTAGGCTGATGGCGAGGACTATTTTCGAACCACATTGCAAGGCCCTTCCTGCAAGCTGACTACCTTCCCTTATTTGGGATTGGAAGCCACGGTGACTTCTCACCAAGAATACCAACCATGAGCCACTGGCAGGAGTGAGTGGGAGGTCATAGAGAAAAGAGGGGAAGCTTGCTGAGTAGAGCTGGTGGTTTTGGAGCCTAGGATGGGAGCTCTTGGAATCCTAAGCAATTAGCTGTGCATTGATTCATCGTGCAATCTAGGGCACAGCTCTGTCTCTGGTAATTTGATGGAAATATATGCAGGGAGCAGCTGTTGCTTCAGAAACACACAAGAATGCTCTCAAAGCGGAAGAAAAAAGGAGAAAAAGACCAACTGCGTGGGTCAGGCATAGGAAGCCGAGCCCACGGTGGGAATAGTAATCAGTACAGTTTCCGTTGTAACAGCAGAACCCCCTCGGCTGAGGCCCATTTGTCCTGTAAGGATCTTGGTGGGCCACAGGGGATATCTTAGCTTTGTTTGTAGAACAGTTCAAGGAGGTAGCCTGTTAAGTCTGTCCACCCAGCTCAGAGGATGTTCCTCTTAAGTTTTAAGTTTTGTTTTTTCTTAAAAAAATAAATAGGCTCCTTCCAGTTCTAAGATTTGATATTTCTGTCTGAAACAGCCCAATATAGCTAATGGTGGGTGATAATTTTTGACAATCTAAATGCTTTTCTGTTTCCAACTGTCATAAAAATCTTCATAGGATCATGCCTATAATCTTAACTGGTTAAAGTAACAATCATGTCCATCTAGAGGGGGACTCAGTAGACAACCTGTTATGAGAACATCCCCGGAGACTGTTGACCACGCGTAAAGCCTATTTTTTCTCTCTGGATAAGCCACCACTTCCTGCAGTGGTTTGCCATGCTGTCTTCTCCCTGGCAGTGCCCACTGAGTTAACCCTCTTGATTAGAGGCCCCGGGGCTCTGTGGGATTCCCCTTCTCAGGACTTAACCACCGGTGGTGTGTGCCCAGAGGCAGATTTAGGTTTTGTAGGACTTTAAAGCTTATGTAATTTAGAGAGTCCTCTTCAATAAAACAAATCAAAACTTTGAATACAAAATTAGATACAGGAGACTTGAAAGGGGCCAGTGGGAGTGAGGGGTCATGAAGCTTCAGCACCATCCCCTTCACAGCAGGCAGATCTGCAGGTGGCCTGTGTTCTGGACTGCGCCCTGCTCCTAGCTCCCTGTGGGGGTCTTAGGCCCACCATTTCCTCCTGCTGGACTTCAGGTCATCATCTGTAAAACGGACTAGGTTATTCTAGGATCCCGTCTAGCTCTCACCTCCTGAGGGCAGCAGGGTTAATAGCTGCCAGGGAGCCGGTGAAACAATTCCAAGCGTTCAAGGACAGTGGAGTTCCAAGTAATATAGTCACCTGCTTTGTGAAATGAAGAGGTGGGATATGATGTGTTTTAAGGATATCTTCCAGTTCTAGTATTCTATGTAAAAGTTTCTATTTCTACCTTCCTCTAGCTGGCTAGTGTCACTATGTATATGCCTCTTCACTGGAAACTGCAGGTTAGAAAACAAAGCACCCCTTCTAAACAGGAGGGCAGCTGGGCTAATGGCCATTGCATATTTAGTTTCTCTGGAGCACTTTATTTTGGGAGACTAAGTGTACCTTAATTTCAATGTCAATACAGGCAGCCTGCCCAAATGGAACAAGGCAGCCCACTAACTGAAGGGATTGGAGACCAGAGAGCTAGGCAGCAGAGGTCCTGAGCCCTGTGCCAGGTAGGACACCCACTACTCCTGTCAAATGTTTTAGCAAGAGCTAGATCCTAATATAAATCTCTCGAGTGGGTTGTAGTGGAAACTAATCTTGTTTAAGAGTTAGATTTATTAGCTGTTTTATTGTCTGTTGACTTTCAGCAACTCACAGGATCTCTCTTGCCTCAATTTTTTTCATCTGTAAAATGGAAGGTTGGTTGTATATCTGTGTGGCACCTTCCAGCTCTTCTCTTCCATCTGTGAATCTACCTTTCTGCCGCATCTAGTCTTAGGGAGGTCTAACGCCAGAGCAAAGCTGCTGCCTCAACTTGAATTCAAGAACGGAGCTCTGCAGGCTACTTAGGGAAGAGCACACCCGGAGGAAGCATCCCATTATCTGCTGGACCGACCACAGGGAAGTAATGGGGACCTGGAGGCCACTTACAGTGTAGAAGTTGAGAGATAATTGGCTTTCAAAGGTGCCCATGCTCCCGTTCTTCACATGAACAGTGGCCACTCTGAAAAGGGGAGAGAATTTTGCATAAGGACTGAAACATGCCTGATTGACAGGGACTGCAGAACACACTTATGGCTGCCAGCCATGCACTCTCAGAGCAGCTTACCTCTGATCAAAGGCAGCCTGGTTCACCAAGTAGGTAGAGTGGTAGGTACAGGAGAACGAGTAGTTCACGGGCTGGTTCTTTATGATCACTGTGCTATCATTGGAAACAATGTGGCTGTAGAAGTGGTAGATGGGGGGCTTGTACTAGAGAAAGGGAGAGGGCAGTTAGGGTGGCCTGTACCCCCATGGTGGGAATGAGGGTTCCAGGAAAAGTGATTGAAGATGACTCAAAAAAACTAAAGGGAGGACATGAATGTCTGCCATTGACAGGGACACCCACTCTTTTTGTTTGTGGGAGAGTTGATAATTTTTGTAAAGAGTCCCTGAGTCTGTTCAACTAAGATTGCTTAAAATAATCTAAGATGAATGTTGTACATTTCAAAGAAATCCATATACCCCTTGGGCTTCTGACCAAAAAGAACTGACTCAGAATCTCTATTTTCAACACCAACTTTGTATCCATATTCCCTGGGCAAGTAATCTTACTTGAATGCCTTTGTGCATCTCCTGTTTCTAGAACATTGCTGTCTCATTCTCTGCTCTTTCCTTCTTCCAATAATAAGCACTATTTCTGAAACTTCTTCCTCTGACTTGTTGAACTCTAAAACCACAGAACATTAGTGTCAGGAGGGATCTTGAACATCCACTTGAGAAGTGGCCTGCCTAAGCCCACACAGGTATTTTCTAGTCCATTTTACCAGGATGCTCAAGATGTGATGTTTTTGTTAATTATGCTCATGACTCTGCACTGAATCACCGAATGAATCCTTATGGGGACTTTAGGAAGAGAAAGTGGCTCTTTGGTCTATTTTCTGAGACCTGTTTGATATTCAATCTGCTGCAGGCAAAGCAAGAAGAATGCTAGACATCAATAGTGGGAATGACTCCCCTCATGACTACTTCCTTACTGGTTCTATGGCCCAAACTAGTGACTTTGTCGGGAGGTCTCAGATTTCTCCTCTGTCACATAAGGATATTTGGAGAGAGGTCATCTGTCATTTCTTTTAATTCTGATTACCTGTCCTGGGTACTTCATAAGACCCAATTATGAATTGTGTTATATTTTGATTACTCCTTTAAAATGATTTTCCAAAGGCACTTTACTACCACTTCAAAGTCTTGGACAGAGGATGTTGTGCCCATCCAACCCAGGAAGGGTGGCAGCTTGTGGGCACATGCTGAGGACTCAAAGCAGGGTGGAGGTGGGCAATGTATGTTGTTTTCCTCACAGAAGGTGGCCTTGCTGGCTGTGGTAACAAATGGAGGGAATGAGATTCAAATCCAAAGGATCACATAAACTGGGCAGAAGACAAGAATTTAACTAACGCTAACATCGCAGGAATTAAGAGCTGGAATTGGCTCTCAAGAGGAAACTGGTGGGTTCTGAATCCTTATATGGGTGCTGAGCAGACATCTTATTCCTGGGCCCAGTTGTATCATCTTAGCAACTTTCATGATGTGGCCTGGGCTGGGCTTACCTCAGACTGGGTTCCACAATAGGACTTGTTTTTAGGTGACAAATCTGGGATTACAAATTGGTAATAACCTCCTTCATGGACCCCATTGTAACAGAGACCACCAAGTGCCAGCTGATGCACTTCCCATCCATAGGGACACTCAGGGATTTTGGTGATGATGGTTTTGGGGTAACAAAACACAAGAATGACATCTGGAAAGAAGATACACATGGTTTGAAATCAAATATGATAATCGTATTCATCAACATAAAGAACGGTGGGTTCCAGCCACACCTGAACATGCACAGCAGTTGATTAAAAATGCTTTCCTCACTATTCTTCATGAGTGGTGATGAAAGTTTTCCCCAAACCTCAATCATTGAAGTTCAAGTTTTATAGTTTTTGCCACATCTGTATAATATCTGCACTATACTTAATATGTATTCAATATTGGTACACTTTTAAACTTTAGTCTAGTCTATTTCAAGGAATATATCTGAAATCAGAGTGGATGGATTGGGTAGTTATATATCTATATCTGCACTTATATCTATATCTATCTGTTCAATACATATATCAAATCCCATGAAAGTGAGCACATAACTTAAAATTAAAAATGGCCATTTCACACCCAATACTGTGAAACAGTAATTTATGACACAGGACAGAAATTCAGTTGTCAAATAGAAAATGGAAAAAAAAGTGGACATTTTCTTTCCATCTGTCTGTCTGTCTATCTATCTATCTATCTATCTATCTATCTATCTATCTATCTATCATCTATCTATCTATTATCTATCTATCTATCAATCATCTATTCTATCTACCCATCTATATAGCATTCTCTAATTTTAAAATAGTTTAAGTTTATCCAGTACATTTTTATTTCCTGTGGGAAAAGTTTGGCATCGGGGACCTTCAGTGCTTCTACTTGACTATGACACTACATTTTGATAACAAGATAATCACAGATCTCTGAGCTTTGCAAGGAAAGCTTCAGGAAAATTTTCCAGGAAAAAAGATAGCACCAGGGCATACCTGCTTTATTTGGAGTGCATGATCTCGCAGAGGCTTCCGCAAAGACAGCCAACAGGACAAAGGCCCTCATCACCATTGCTTCTCAGAACCTGGTCTTTACCAGGTGGCCAAACCAAGCCGGCCAAATATTCACAGTCTTGCCAGAGCCCGAACCTCGATCATTCTGGGTCAGAAACATGAGCAAGAAGTTAAAACCAAGGGTGAAAACAAAGCAGCACACACAATCCTGGGGGAGGCTTCCAAGGGAGATCAATAATGCTGACTCCATTCCCAAAGGTTCCTGTCTGTGCTGACAGGCAAGAAAGCGGGGCTCATACCACCGGGGACGTCAGTGATGCAGGCAGTGCTCATGTTCCTGACTGGCTCATTCTCTCCGGACTGGATGCTGCCTCTCAGATGCTCCCAGATCTCTGGGCTTAGTCCTAGCTCGACTTATATAGGCGGAGAGTGTAAAAGAAACCGGCTCCAGATAAATCACAATGAGCACACATTATCCACTGTGGGGGGAATAAAAGGGGACCTGGCACAATAATCTGATGGCGAGCTCAGTTACGGCCACTTGAATCTAATTTCTTTACTTCACAGAGTTCGAACAACTTTTTTTTTTTAACTGTTTCAACCAGAGTTGGAATAAAAAATTGAATAATTTTTTCTTCTTGTACAAAAAATAACTCTAATTGAGGGCAAACGAATGTATGGTTTCCATAATAGGACTTGTTTTTAGGTGACAAATCTGGGTGCCAATTTTCTTTCTTTAAGTCTGCTTTCTTATATTTTTATATGTAGGCTATCCAAAACTTTGGACGAAAGAAGGCTCAAGTTTGGTAGTGTTACACCTGATTCTCAAACAAAAAATAGGTTGTTGTGTCACTGCAAACATCTTAAAGGGTTTCTTTTTTCCTAATATTTTTTAATAAACTCTGAACTTCTAGAGTTTCTTTTGATTGTAGAGCTCTACGCTTTTAATGATTTGTTAGTTTCCCAGAGCAATGGTATTGGAAGAAGGAACTTAGAAAGACAATCTTATGATTCAAACCTTAGTCACCAAACAAGATCCTACCAAAGACAGCAGATAAAATGCTATTTCTAGGAAGTTTTCAAATATACAGCTGGGAATTGTTAGCACCCAGAAATTTCAGAATGAAAGATCAGGAATTGTTTTGATTTTTGTTTTTATAGGAAACAGACTCATTTATCAGTCACCTGAGAGTATATTGTACAGAAGCCACTGCATGGAGCCCTTTGAGAGACAGATGTAAAAAGAACAAACAGATGTAAAAAAAGACAGATATAAAATGTAGCTGACAAGCTAAATTATCCATGCACAATGACTCAGAGAATACCGGAATAAATCACTGTTTTGCTACTTACCGTATTTCCTTAGTTCTAAGATACATATCCTTCCTTCCAAGCACACATAATTTAACATCTCAGAAACACTGGGATGTGTCTTATGAGCAATATGCATATATAATATGGTAGAGTTTCCTTATTTCCTCAAAATCTTTTGTTAAATTGATGGTATGTCTTACAAAGATGGTGCCAAAGAATGAGGATATAGCCACATGACAAGCCATTAAACATTTCTGTGACTCAGTTTCCTTCTCTGTAAATGGAGGCCTGTAGCCCTGAGCTTACCTCACAAGGTGGGAGAACAATGATATAAAGGCTCTTGTAAAGTGTAAGGTACTAGGTAAATAGATTACCTGAGTGACAATTTCTTACAAATGTGTGTGTCCATGAGTGGTTTTACTTTTCCACAAAGAAAAGTACCACAATGTATTGCATTGTAGACTCAAGTTCACAGGAGACATATGTATATTGTATAACAAACATGCAGTATATTTTATTGCTAAGGAACCAAATGGCCTGAAGAGGGGAGTGCATGATCTCCATAAAACTATTAAAAAAAAATACAAATTGGACCAAGTTTAGGGTGGCCTATAAAAATCAGACATTTACACTGATCTCCATAGCTCGTTATAGCCCTACCTCCTGAGCAAAAGAGAGGCCCTTGAATCTCACAAGCATGTGTGAATTCTCTGAGTTTCTCTTTCCTAGGGCTTAGCATTACCTCTGCTTCTTCCTCCCTCCTTTTTCTTAAACATTTATTGAGCTCCTAAAATATACCAGGCACTGCCCTAGGCTCTGGGAAGATACAGGCGCAGTCAGTGGAGCTAGGAAATAGGTGGGGGACTGGGGTCAGGAGGGAGTGTGTCCTGGGCATGCAAGGTGGAGAGGAGGGAAGAGTGGAGAATCAGACTGCTGGACAGAAGAAGTAACAAGTAAGCTACGTCACAGAAGCCTGAAACGACCTAGCTGCATAAGGAATGGTCCCTCTTGATTCGACATAAATGGTTATTTATCACTGATACTTCAGTATTGATCTTCTAGGTATATTGGGTTCCTTGTTTCTACTTCAAGAAGATTCTTTTCGCACATCTTCAAATATGTCCTGCTCAGGCAGCCTTGGCCCAAGCAGGTCAATGGGTCATCTTGTCTCTGACCTAGAAGGGCAGGGTTCCCTCATAGAAAGGTTGTGGTAGAAACAAAAGCCTTTCTTGTCTCCCAGTGGAAATGTGAGGGGGGCACCTGTAAGATGCTGTGAGGCCATGCAGAGCAAGGCTGAGCAGATAGACAGCAGTCGGCTTGGGGTCAAAGCCCTCCTAGATCACTTCCTAGCTGTGTGTTCTTGGGCAAGTTCCTTGTCTTCTGTGGATCTTAATTTCCTCCTTTTCTAAAAGGATATGATAATATCTATAGCAGTGTTACTCAGAGTATTAAATGAGATGTAAACAGTTTGCACAGATATGGCTTATTTTCCACCACAGGGTCAGGGCATCAGGGAAGACTTCTGTTTGTATTTAGTTCTCTGTGGGAAATCAGAACTAGGCTGATTTAGTTCTGGGTCACTGCGGGACTGTATATACTTTTGTCATCAATTTGAATTATGCCCTGTGTAACTAAGAGCACAGGAATTAGAGGTGATCACTCTGTCACATTTCCAATTGTGTGTTCTTGTGCAACCACTTTGACCTTTCCAAGCTTTTAGCTTCCAGATTTGTAACATTGGGCTTCCTGTCTCCTATGGCCGTACAAGAGCCTAATGAAATAATACATTTAAATTTCTCAGCACAGTGCCTGGTGCACAGTAAATCCTCAGTAAAGGTTCACTGCCATTAAGTTTGTTCATCTCAGGTTGGGTATCCTCGGGCTGGAAGGACATGCCAACAGTGTTTCTGAATGAACTCCGGACATTTTCCAGTGGGAGTATTTCTCTCTTTAGAAGCCCACCTTAACAAAGAGCAGGATCTTTTGATTTCTTAGAGAAGCCTGATAATGATAAGATCGCGCCTACAATTTCTTGGAGGGAGGAGCTAGTTAACAATCTGGTACATGATACCCCTTTCATGGGTCAAATTGAATGAAGTCGGGGAAGCAGAGTCAACTTTTGTGGCAGGCTGGTCTCTAGATGTTCAATTTGCATAAGAAACAGAATGGGACAAAATGTCCTTGGGGTAAACAGGATTTGATACTTGCTCTGATAAAAGGTAGGAGGCTCCTGTTCCCCTCAGGGTAATTACCCACCCCCTCTCTGCTTCCCAGTATCCCGCCCCTTCCTGAGTTGAGGATGGAGTGAGAGGTGTGCACCTGGGAGGTGGAGCCGGAAGCAACATCTACCACTGAGACCCGTTGCTATTTCTCCATAATACACACAAGTAATACTGATGGGAAGATTTAAAAAATCTAGGGTCTGGAAACAGCCCCCTACAGGGGCTTTTATAGCAGACTCTTCTGAAAGGTGAGCTTGTCTTTCCTGTATCTTTCTTTTAGGAATTGCCAGGCAACAGAAGCTACCTGTTCCATTTGAAGCTCTTGCGTGATATTTGAAAGCTGACCCAGACACTAAAGAGCTGTCATTTGCACAATTCCAATCAACACTTCCATTCACAGCTGAGAAATTATATAGATGATGAATAATGATGATAAACAAATCAGGAAACTCTTACTGAGGTAACATGGTACTTTAAAAATAAAGCTAATAATCATACATTAAAGTTTAAAAGGCTGCTTTATTAGCTTCTTTTTTAAAGCCTACTGTTTGGAGTTCATTAACTGTTGGCTTTGTTAATGGACTCCACTGTTTCCTGTAAACCCTGAATCCAGCCTTCTACTTTGTGGGAGGTTCTGTTTGCCAATTTGCAAATGAGTGGGTGTTCCCTTGCAGGCTTCAATGGTTTAGGCCTTGGGAATTAACAGTTCTCCAGAGAAAGTGGTGTTCCCCTGAGAGAAAACACATCTCATAAAAGAGAATTGAGAAGCCATTCAAGACCCTCTGCTGATAGTGCCTTAGAAATTTAGATCAAGAAGCTCCACTTCCTCCATCCCCCCCAAAACCCTAAAGACACCCCTTCCAGAGAAGCAGATTGCCCAGGCAGATAAACTAGCCTCTCCAGGACTTCCTGCAGCCTTGTCTGGCTTATCTCTGAGCAAAAGATAAAGTCTTGCCCTTCTCAAAAGAGTAGGACCCACCCACCCCTGCCTCCCTTGTCTCCCCCTACCCCTTACTCTCCTCACCTCCAATTTTAAGACTGGAGAATAAAAAACAGCTCCTCCTCATGTCAACATTAGGGATCTCACTGCTGGTCTAAAACATTCAAGGTAAATAATTTGTTCTGTTCTTGAAATATATCTATATAAATATATACATAAAGTATATATAAATATATACATTAAACATATATTTACATAAATACACAAGCTTTTTAAATATCTACTTGGGGTAAAGTAAGGATATTGGGGGAGGACACAAATGTTCTTTAAAGTTAAAGAATAATGGGACAGAGAAGAGGCATCTAATTTAGCCTGATCAAGGAAATCTCTGAAGAGATTTGAGATGGGGCTTGCAGGCTGAGAAGGAGTTGGGGTGGGTGCTGATGGGATGTGTGTATGCACACATATGTGTGTGCATGTGTGTACAGAGGCAGAATATTCTAGCAGGAGATACAACACTGAAGGGGGCGCTGATGTAGGATGGAGATAACACATTCATCAACCCTCCCATACTTTTTTGTA